CATTCTTGCTAGTGCAGTCCTCTTTCTTTCTTTTAAATTTAACATCGATGTCCATCGGTTCGGCGAACGTGGGGGGTGCCAATCGCTCCGTGCCGAATGTACGGTTCGGCGTGAAGCGTCGTGTTTCGGGTTGACCTCGATTCAGCGCGTCGTATCGTTCGGCAGCACGCACGATGTCTCTGTAGCCGTTGTAATTCGCCGCAATCATCTGCCGCTGAATCTCCTTTTTTAATCATTCTTCTTACGCCTGGATTTTTTCGCCTTCGGTCAGGTCGGTGATGCAGTTGAACAGTGACTCCATCTACTGCGTGTACTATGCTACACTGCTTTATTGCTTGTGTCGGTGTATCTGCTGCCGCGCCATGTAGGTCGTATTAATCGGTCCGAAACGTTCGATTAAATCTGCCCAAAACTGCTGCCACGTTTTCTCCACGCGGGCTACGTCGGTGTAGTAAATCCATTCGAGTGCTGGTCCACGTAACAGTGTCGCTGCGAGCCGAATCCGTGCTGCGTCGTGTTGCGGGGTCGAACAGCTAATGGCCTTGAAGTACATTTCGAGGGTTGCCACGAATCGCCGGACGTCGGATCCCTTCGCGCTTGGATCGAACGCCTCAGGGAGCCTCGGTCGTGCTGCTTCGAGGTTCGGCGACAGTGGTGCCATCGGTCCGTGAAATGTCGGTGTCGCCACTGCTGCGGGTGTTGTCGCTGCTGCATTCGCTGCTGTGGTGGCGATCCCTGGTTGGTGTGTCAGAAGGGCCTCGAGGCGACGAAGCGTCGCCTGCGTCTGCTCCATGTCGGTGTGGAGGCTCGCGATGTCGCTCGTGGTCGCGTAGTTGTCGCCTTGGCCCTCCATGCCTGACATTAGCGCGTCCAAAAAACCGAATCGAGGGGGAGCGAAAAATCACGGAACCGGTTTTACGTACCCGAAATCGATGTTTAACTGCGTCGCCCCCGCGGTTTTCGAAGACTGGTTTTAGGGGTCGAAAAAACTTCGTGTGTACACGGGCTCTGATTACCATGTGTGAGGATCTAGGATCGAGCTCAGAAAAGAGAATGTGAATTGAATTGAACGATCACCTGGGTACAACACGAGGCTATATATAGGCTCGACACAAGGCCCCGTAATCAGATGTTACGCGAAGGTTCCGCGGGTCGCGAAGCGTCTCGAACAGATCCTTCCCGAATTCGGTAGAAGGCAATTCGGTGGCAACCGAAAAGCCATAATTCGGTGCACGCAACCTAGCTCGGTGCTATAACTATAATAAAATATAGGAAAGCACCTAGCCTAGGAAATCAAGCAATTCATGCATGCATATAATTATCCTATGCTAGAAACAGCATAATAAAGTAAGGCAAGCAAGCATAGCTGGCATAAGCCGTCGTACTCTCACAGCGTCCGCTGCACTTCCTGCACGTGTTCGGATCCTTCCGCGTTTTGGGGCTGGAAGCGCTCGTTCCAAGCGTTTTTCTCTCATCCGGTCACGTGGCTGCGCTTGTCTCGGCCTTTTACTAAGCCAGTAAGGGCGTGGGAGGGTTGCGAGGATTATCGGTCATCGGCGCTCGCGAATGAAGAGCGCCCGCTGCAGTTCCTGCACGTGTGCGGATCCTTCCGCGTTTTGGGGCCAGAAGCGCTCGTTCTGAGCGGTTTTTTTTCCGCCGGGTCACGTGGCTGCACTTGTTTGGGCCTATTACCAAGCCAGCAAGGGCGTGGGAGGGTTGCGAGCATCATCGGTCATCGGCGCTTGGGAATGAAGAGCGCCCGCTGCACTTCCTGCACGTGTGCGGATCCTTCCGCGTTTTGGGGCTGGAAGCGCTCGTTCCGAGCGTATTTCTTCCGCCGGGTCACGTGGCTGCGATTGTCTGGGCCTATTACAAAGCCAGCAAAGGCCTGGGAGGGTTGCAAGCATCATCGGTCATCGGCGCTCGCGAATGAAGAGCGCCCGCTCCACTTCCTGCACGTGTGCGTATCCTTCCGCGTTTTGGGGATGGAAGCGCTCGTTACGAGCGTTTTTCTTCCGCCGGGTCACGTGGCTGCGCTTTTCTAGGCCTATTACCAAGCCAGAAAGGGCGTGGGAGGGTTGCGAGCATCATCGGTCATTGGCGCTCGCGAATGAAGAGCGCCCGCTGCACTTCCTGCACATGTGCGGATCCTCTCGCGTTTTGGGGCTGGATGTGAAGAATGAGGAATGTAAGGAGGAGGGGTTTTCACTAGCAAGCAGTTGAGTACATATAGGAAACCCTAAATTGGGCTGTACTCACTATTGAGTACCCCACTGCAGGCTAGACAAACATAACATTCTGACACACCCCCATAGCCAAAGTGGGGTGTAATCAGCACAACAAGCAAGCAAAACACAAGCTCAGGGTGGATCACAATGTCACCACACAATCTGAGCACAAGTACAAGAAGCAACAGTTTAAAGTTCACAAATGTAAGCAAAGCTAGAGGCTATCACCGAGGGCAAGTGTGGAGGAGGAGGAACTATGAGAGGAGAGGAGGTAGTGGGCGGCAGCTGAAGCTGCTAGCACACGGCGCAACTAGAGCAACTGGCACACGGGCAACTGGAACAAATGGCACACTGGCAACTGGAGCAACTGGCACACGGGCTACTGGAGTAACTGGCTCTGCGGCTAACTCTGAGCGGCAGGAGCAACGGACTCACGGGCGACTGGAGCAACTGGCTCACGGGCGACTGGCGCAACGGGCTCACGGGCGACTGGCGCAACGGTCTCACGGGTGACTGGAGCTGCGGGCTTCACGGCGGCCACCCCCCTTCAACCTCCCCAAACTATCCCACCCCCCTTTCACACACCCCGTGCTACACCCTAGGTTCACTCACACTCCACCCCCTAGCACCACTCCGTCGACTCCCACACACCCACCCCCCTCAGCGGCAGCTGCAGCAGTGGGAGACAGAGGAGGAGGAGGAGCAGGGGAGACCACACACCCGCCACCCCCTACTCGCCACCCCCAAACCCTAACACAGGGCAGGGCGGAATGGCGGGTAGGGAGGTTACGGGGGGGGGGGACACGCGGCCTCCCAGGGCACCAAAACAGGCGGCAGAAGGGGCGACGCTCGCCCCCCCCCCCCCCCCCCCAGGTCGCGCGCGGCCCCCTTAGGTCGCCTCGACAGGCGACGGGAAAAGAGGGGGGGGGCAGTGCACGGGTCCCCGGTGCGCCGCGACAGGCGATGGAGCATGGCCGGGGCGGGGCCGGGGCAGGGCCTCGACAGGGCTGCGACAAGGCAGGGGCATGGCCGCGACAGGGCCGCGGCGGGCGACGAGGAAGGGCCACTACGGGGGGGGCCGCGACTGAGGGCCGCGACGGAGGGCCGCGACGGGGGGGCCGCGACAGGGCGACGGGGCGGGGCTGGGCGACGGGGCAGGGCCGGGGCGAGGCCGTGACGGGGCCGCGACAGGGCCGCGACGGGGTCGCGAAAGGGCCACGAAGGGGCCACGAAGGGCCGCGACGAGCAGCAGGGCAGAGCGCGAAACGCGCGAAGGGCAGGGCAGGAAAAAAAAAAAGTTTAGCGAAGTGGTGGGCCCTAGGAAGGAACAGTCCCAGGAGGGAACCAGCTCTATATCATGTGAAGAATGAGGAATGTAAGGAGGAGGGGTTTTCACTAGCAAGCAATTGAGTACATATTGCAAACCCTAAATTGGGCTGTACTCACTATTGAGTACCCCACTGCAGGCTAGACAAACATAACATTGTGACACTGGAAGCGCTCGTTCCGAGCGTTTTTCTTCCGCCAGGTCACGTGGCTGCGCTTGTCTGAGCCTATTACCAAGCCAGCGCGGGGGTGAAAGAATTGCGAGCATCATCGGACATCGGCGCTCGCGAATGAAGAGAGATTGCTGTACTTCCTGCACGTGTGCGGATCCTTTTGCGTTTTGGGGCTGGAAGCGCTCGTTTCGAGCGTTTTTCGTCCGCTCGGTAAGGAATGTCGAGATGTAAGGAATTTTCTCGACATTCCTTACCGCGACCATCAACATCGCGTACAGCAGCAGCCGTTGTTCGCCCGTTACTACTAACGGGGCTTCGCCAATTATGCGGGCACTGTTTTACTAAACCATGCACAGGTGGCCTGGCCGAGTCGGCCTACGCTTCGGGACTAGCCCGAACCTCGATGCCAGTCTAGCACTAGCTAGCTGGCACGCACCGCGTAACTGTTGCATGTTTTCGCACATAAGTATTCGCTCATGCCTTAGCTCAGTGTTTGTACTTTTGACCCACATAGTGCAATCCTCGCTACCTAGTTCCATCGCACCCGTAACACATGTTCAAGTCCTACTGAACCGCAACTTCTGCTTTATAACGAGGGAGTTCATACAGTGCGAGAAGGCTCAACTCCTCGTTGCTCCCCAATTGGTCCATTCGGTTCAACTTCCACGCGTCCAATCCGCTTGTCACGAATCGTCAAGCCTGTTGGATTTGCTCCACCCGCTCCGTGCCGCAAACGCATAACCCTTCGTGTAGAGTTCGCAAGAAATTCGTCTGCGGGAAAGTTTGAAATCGTAGCAATTCGTCCAATGGTTCGCAACGCAATCGCCCGAAGCATGCAGCCTGCGTTGCATCACAACCACCAGTCGATCAGCTCTCCAATCCAAACCATTGCCCACCACAAAGCCCTCCCTTCCTGCCAAAGTCCACCACCTTGGGAGTACCGACTGGGGGAACACCGTAGGGGTTGGGAGTGAGAGCGAGGCAGGTCCATTTGCGTGGGAGCTGGCAAGTGCAAAGCAAATCAGTGCTGCAAAATCGCAGAGATCAGGTCAGGGAGGGGAGTCCCTGGTGTACACCAGGCTCTCTTCAGGTTCAGGGCATCAATTCTCCGTGCGTCCAGTTCGTCTACGCTGTTCCCCGGTTTGAGTGGTCTGATCCTATCTGCCTCTCCACCGTGCGATCCTTTCCTCGATCAACGGCCCTAGACACTTCTTCTGCGTGCCACTACTCCGCTCGTCTGCCATTCCTTTTCCCCTCTCTCCGTTCCCCCGCAATGGCAGCTCCACCTGCCGTCAAGCTCACGCGCCCTCCACTCCTCGTCGGCTCGCCGCACCGCGTATCACCAAACTCTCGTCTGCGCTCCTTGCCAACTCCAAAATCACGAAGTCCCCACGCGCTCTCGCCATGCCACCATTCCTCCATCTCCTCCCTTCCCGCCCTCTCCTCGCTCTCCGCCTTTCACTCCCCCCGTTCCCTAGATCCTCCCCGCTCGGACGCCCTCTCCCGTTCCGGCCAACCTTCTCGCGCTCGTTGCTTAAGAGCGTCGAGCCGCACGTCAATCCGCGCAGCGTGGGGATCAGATCGACGCGCCGATGGAAGCGCAAGTAGCTCGAGTAGCGCATCGTCTCGCCATCGCCGGCCAGGAACCGTCTCCGCAAATGGCGAGGCCGCGACGAACTTCGCCGAAACGTCCGCGACAGTTACTGGCGTCGTGCCGGTCCGGCGGGTATTCCGCGGGGAAGCGGACAGGGCAAGCGCGCAAAGGCTGCGGGAAGAGCAATTGCGCGAGCGCACGCTGCGGATAAACGGGTTCCTGGAGAGAGACGCCGAGGCGCTAGTGGTGCGAGAGGCGCGGCCCGAGGAGTACTGGGAGGCTGCTGACGTGCACTGCGCTGCGTTCTTCCCGCACGCGCCCTTCCCGCTAAATTATATTTTGCGAATGGACAGGTAGCCAATGCGTTCTGCTGCTGCCCCCCACACACGCGCCCTATCACCTGCACCCCTTCCTCCCTCCCACTTTCTCCTTTTTCCTTACCCACACCTCCCTACCCTTCCTTTCCCCTCTTCCCTCTCCTCGTCCCCCCCATTGCCGCCCCTTCATTTTTCCCACTTCCCCTGTCGTCTTCTGCGGTTTCTCTGGTTCTCGCTACCTTCACCTCATGCCCTGCCGCACAATATCCTTCTGCCCCTCACCAATGCGATTTCCGTTTCTAGGGTCTCGGCGATCCTGGCCAATCTCAGCATGCCACGCGGCACGTACAAGAAGTGCCTGGTGGCCTTTGACTCGCCAGCTTTCCTCCAATCCCTCCCTCCTTCCTTCGCCCTCACAACTGCTTCCTCCCCCTCCGCCTCCCCCTCCGCCTCCGCCTCAGCCTCCCCCTCCGCCTCCTCTTCCCCTTCTTCCTCCCCCTCCACCACCACCACCACCTCCACAACCGCGCCCGCGACCAAAGCCCGCGCGCCACCCCCTGAGCACGCGGCGTCAGCAGCGATCAAGGACTTTGACGGCGAGCGGGACTTAATCGGCGGGCCAATGTTCCGGCCCGTGCTGGCGACCATGCTGCTGGGCCCGCCCGTGCTCTCGTGGACCTTCTCCGGGCTGAATGTGGGGCCCAGGGGGCTCGTGGGGTCTGTCACGGTTGACACGGCTGGGGAGTTTCTGCCGCGCCGCAAGCCACACAACAGGCGCCGGTCAGTGGGTGATGGGTGGCGTGCGAGGAAGGGAGGGAGGGAGAGAAGGGGGGTGAGAGGGGAAGGGAAGCGAGAGTGGGGAGAATGAGAGGTGATGGTTAGGGATTGATTAATTGGGGTCAAAAGGTACGATGAGGTTGAACCATAGCATGGCATGGCATGGGACAGAGATGCATGTCGTTGCTGCCAGCTGTACCATGAGTGCCGCTGCTGCTGCTGCCATGCCATCGGACAGAGTACTCGCTTCCCTCACTTAACCAAAGAAAGTTCAACCCCTGTGCTCCCTCCCTCCTTCTCCTCCTCCTTCTTTCTCCTCCTCCTCCTCCTCCTCCTCCTCCTCCTCCTCCTCCTCCTCCTCCTCCTCCTCCTCCTCCTCCTCCTCCTCCTCCTCCTCCTCCACCTCCTCCCCCCTCCCCCATTCCCTCCTCTTCCCCCCACACCACCGTTTCTTACTCCCAGGACGGGCATAGCATACATAAGCAACATGGCAGTGAGGGCAGTGCGCAGGAGAAGGGGCGTGGCGGGCAGGCTACTGGCAGAGGCGGAGGCGCAGGCGAGGCGGTGGGGGTGCAGGGCGGCAGCGCTGCACTGCGACGTGCGCAACGAGGGCGCCCTCCAGCTGTACCTGCAACACGGCTACCGCCTCGTGCGGCCGCCGCTGGGTGCTGTGTGGCCCCAACCCATGGCCTCTGAAGGCCAGGACCTGCAACTGCTGCTCAAGCGACTGGGGTAGGGGGGGATGGGGAGAGCCGGGCGTGGTTTGTGGGGGTTTGGGTGAAGTTATTAGGGAATAGGGTGGGGATGTAGGTTGAAGTGTGTGAGGGGAGAGGGGTGGATGGATGGCGTGTAAATGGAGGAAAGCAGTCTGGCGTGGCGTTGTGGGCTGAAGGTGGGTTGGCCTTTTGGCAGGTTGATAGAGGTTGGCATGTTCGGTGCATCACAGCAGAGTGAGAGCACTCGCTGGCCCTCTCAGGTGTTGATTACAAGGAATACGAAGAGATACGAATGATAACTGTTTTACTGTTGGCTGTGGCGGTTCGATACAGTGCGACTCGGGCAACTGCTCAATATCGAGTCAGTTGTGTGTCCTTGCTGTCGCGCTGCATTTGTCAAGTCAAAGGTCGCTGACCTTTGACCTTCGCGTAACCTCCAGCTGTTGCTTCAACTTCCGAGGGTTGACTCGCTGGTGCCTCGATATGCGTTGCTTCACTTGTGTCTTAAGTGTTTCGACACGACAGAGGCGCTTAGGACCGATTGTTTCCAACATCAAGGGCTGGGCTGGAGAGCCAGCATGCAAGGCCGCTTGGGTGTTGGGTTGAGGAGGCACGGTAAAGAAGGATTCGGTGGAGCGGTCGACGGATGAAGAGATGAAGAGACAGGTGGCTTGGAGTGGGATTACCGTAACATTCGGGTCAGGTCAGGTTTGTTCGTGTGATAAAATTATGTGATCAGCACTTGAGTTTGTCTGGTTTTTTTATATTATTGTTATTCTATTTGTGCATCTGGTAAGAAAGGTCAGCTGAACAAAGGCTGTCATTATGATGGTTAGGCTAGCAGATCAGGGGTCATGTGCCCTATAATATATCTATAGGTGTTACGGGTGTAATGAATCGAAGTAGCGAGAATTGCACTAAGGTGTCAAACGAGTACAAAATGTGAGCGAAGGCAATGAGCGACCATTTATACGCGAAACATGCAAACGGTAACGCGGTGCGTGCGAGCTAGCTAGTGCTACGCTGGAGCGAGGCTCGGGCTAGTCCCGAGGCGTAGGCCGACACGGCCATGCCAGCAGTGCGAGGTTTGGTGAAACATTGTGCGCGAAGTCGGCGAAGCCCCGTTAGCAGTAACGGGCGAACAACGGCTGTTGCTGTACGCGATGTAGTCGGGCTCCGTAAGGAACGTAGAGAAAATTCCTTATAGTAGGTTATACAGGATTTTAGTCACCTCCTATATCTGCAACACCACTGATCCTTTACGTATGCGCTGGACCCGCCCTCAACTCAATATGCTTTGTCGTAGATTTGAGCGGGAAGCTCAAATCTGACATCCACATGCCGATTCCACAACGTGCGTGGCCCACTGTAGGAACGCCACGCTGCTCCACTTGTTGATGGGTTGCCTTGGCGAGGCAAAATTCCAGGACAAACTCCGGTTACCATATTTTGCGAAAGCCTTTGTTTGGAGCGAAGTAGCGTACACAAGACGACTTGACTGGAGGAATTACAGAAACCCGAGGCCGTCGCAACATCACCACCGAAAGAATATCCTAGTGTCGTGCTTTGCGCGCTTCTCGTGGCCGCGCCGCATTGACTGACTGTTCGCCTTTCGTTCTGCCTCCCCCGCGTTAGCTTTCGTTCCCTTACACGCCATGCGTCGCACGCGTCGCCAGATCCGGCAGGTGGTGATAGAGAGGGAGGAGGATGAGGAGCAGCAGAGCACGTCGGAGGAGGAAGAGGAAGAGGAGGAGGAATATGTCGAGGTGCCACGTTCGGCGTCGAACGGGGTTCGTTCAAAGGAAGGAACTAACGGCCGCGCTCGTGGCGGTAGTAGGTCCGACGAATCTGAGGATGAGGAGGAGGAGGGCGACGACGAGGAGGAAGATGCGGTTCCGGGGAAGGCGGAACGACGTGGCGGTCGCAGCAGAGGCGGCGGGGGTGCGGCGGAAGGGGCGTCGGCGCATGGCATGGCCGGGGAAGAAGCGGAGGAGGCGGAAGGAGGGGGGGGCAGGAAAGGGAAATCGTCGCGGATCAAGCTGAATCTCAAGAGCAAGGCTTCTGGCGTGTGCAGGGTACGTGGAGGGTGCGTGGAGAGTGCGTGGAGAGTGCGTGAAGGGTAGAAATGGAGGTGATTAAGCGCCCCCTTTTGCTACCCAAGTGCACGTTTGAATGTTCTGGTGAATGTGCGCATGGCTTGCCCTGGCCCTTGCCCTTGTCATCGCTCCTTCATGCCACAGCTCCCTATTCCTGTCCTTTCGTGCTTCATCTCATCTGATGAATTCTTTTCTATTTTCCTGATCCTGCTCTGCTGCTCCTGCTACTGCGGTCGTTGTCGGGCGGAGGCCATGATGGCAGGTGTGTGGCAGCAAGGGCCACGAGGCTGGTTTCGTTGGCTCTGTCTACGTTGACTGTCCCAACCGCCCCTGCTTCCTCTGCAAGCTGCCAGGTGCTCCCTCACGCCCCCTTCCTCTCTCCGTCTTGCCCCACCTGATTCGTGTTTTGAGTCGACTCAAAACACGACCTTTCTCATCGGATGGCATCATTCCATCCCCTCTTCTTTCCATCCAATTCAAGCGTATCCAAACCCTTTCCAAACCTGGTGCAGGGCACACGACGGCCACGTGTCCGCACCGTGTGGGAGCAGATGGAGGCAGTGTGGCAGTGCAGGGCGGGCGCACACACGAGGGGGTGCTACACACCGTGCAGCAGCGCCAGATTACGGGCATGCTGCCACGGGTGAGCTCTCATACTGGTCTCGGCATCATCCTCCTCAGCCCGCATTCTCCCGTTCGTTGAACAGCGTTGCTTCTCCTCTTACCCTCTGTCCCTCTCCTCTCACCCCTCGCCTTCCGCCCCACTCCCCCTCCCCTCGCCCACCCACAGGCGGCGCGGCACAGGAGGGTGCTGCCGAGTGTGGTGGAGGCGGCGGTGATAGCGCTGCACATGAGGCGCATCACAGTGCTGGAGTTCCATGCTGTCCGGGACGACGTGCTGCTGTCCGGAGACAAGGTGCGTGCTGTCCAGGGATAAGGTGCGTGCTGAGAGGAGAGGGACGAGAGACGAGGAACGAGAGACGAGAGCTTACTTTAAAGCCCTCTAGAAGCCCTCTAGACTCTACCCGTTCCGCCTTCCCTTTCCCGTTCCGCCTCTCCTCCTCGCCCTTTCTCCTCGCGCCGCTCGTCCATCTCTTCCTTTGCTTTCACTGACTCAACCTCGGCACACACACCAACCATCTCCTCGGGCTCTTCCTCCTCCTCTGCTTTGCTGCCGATGCTCGTCTGCCAACGCTCTATGTCTGTGTGTGGGCGTGGGGGGGAGCAGAGGGGACACATAGGGCTGTGGAACTACGAGAGGGAGAGGGACACAACAGTGCATCAGAGCGCGCACCAGTACCAGATCAGCGCTCTCAGGTGGGATGGGATGCTCCCTACACTTCTGCTCACACATCTTTCCCCACACACTTCACAACCCTGACACCCACGTTTGCTCATCCCTGTCATCCTCTGTCACCTTTCTTCTTGCTTTCACCCCCACAAATCCGTTGCTCCGCTCCCCTACTTCCCTTCCAACTCCACCTCCCTCCCGCTTGCAGAACGTTCACCCCCCCGCCTTCCCCTCTTTCAATTCCCTCTTCTCTCAACATCCCCTCCCCCTGTCAGGCACCGCCCAACGTGTGATGAGGTGGTGCTATCCTCGTCACTGGACGGCAAGGTGTGCCGGGTGGACATAGAAACAGGCCAGGCCACCGTGCTGGCAAATCTCAACCCGCTGGGCTGGCAGGGCGACGAGCGCACCTGGGGGAGCTTCTATGCCATGGACGCCCCTGCACGTGACGGCGGTGCTCTGGTGGTCGCTGGGGATAACTTCGGGTGCATACATCTGTGAGTGCACACGCACTTGGGTTGGTTGACAGAGCACGGTTATATAGCCAAGAGTTATTCTGATCCTGCATTCCTGCCCCTCGCCCATGCCCATTGCACGTTGCCCTCTCGCCATGCTACTCGTTCCCCATTCATCCTCCGCGTAACTGTCTCCCTCCGCCCTCCCTATGTTTTCCCTCCTGCTGCCCTCTGCCCTCCCTATTCAATCCTTTTCTTCCCCCCTTATCCGCCTTCCCACGTGCCCCACCACCAGGCTGGACGAGCGGGTGGAGGAGCGGGTAGCAGCGGGAGTGGCGGGGTGCCATGCGTCGCGCACCAAGGTGGTGTCATTGCACCTCAACCCCGCTGACCCGCACCTGCTGCTCTCTGCTGGCTCCGACCACTGGGTACGGCGCTGCTGCTGCTGCAGAGCAGATCATGCTGCTGCTGGGTATCCTGCTCCTACTGCCGCTGTTGTTGCTTCAGGATTTTAGTGATGCAGCGGCCTAACACAACCCTCGTTCTCACGCCAACCCGTGCGCTTGTGATTGCCCCCACCAGATGCATCTATGGGATGTGAGACAGCTGTCTGCACAGCACCGCGTTGCCTCCATGCAGCACCCACGTGTGGTCAACAGTGCTTACTTCTCTCCTGTGAGTCTGCTCAAGCGCCAAACTGTGTAACTGTTTCTGACTGTCACTGACTGTGACATCCAGAAATCTCATCTGATATATTACGTTTCTTGATTTGTCTGCTCACCCTCTGAATGCTTGTGGCATGCCGTGTGAATGTGGTGCATACGAACGCATCAGATCACGGGCACTCGGATCCTGAGCACGTGTCAGGACAACAGGTTGCGGGTGTGGGACAGTGTGTTCTGCGACCTGCAGCACCCCAGCAGCACCATCGTGCACTCCCACGACTTCAACCGCTACCTCTCGCCCTTCAAGGCGCACTGGGACCCCAAGGTCTGTGCATCTATCAGTTTCATAGACACTTGCTTATGCGCTCTTTGCTCTCGTTGCCCGTTTCTCTCTGTCCGTTTCTGCTTGTTCTGTGCTTCGTCCCATTCACCGTTTTCTCCCCCTCTGCCCCTCTCCTCCCTCCTTTTGAGTCGACTCAAAAGTCACCCGTTCACCGTATTCTCCACCTTTGCCCCTCTCCTCCCTCCTTCCCGCATTCCCTCCCCCTCATTCCCTCATCCATTATTCCCTGCCACATCGTTCCCCTGTCCTTTACCACAGGACGATGCAGAGCGCGTGGTGGTGTGTGGGCGGTACATAAGTGACGACTACAATGGAGTGGCGTTGCACCCCATTGACTTCCTGGACGCCTCCTCGGGTGCTTTGCTGGGCTCTGCTGTTGACCCCCACCTCACCACCATCTCCCCCGTCAACCTGCCACACCCCCGCTGCGACCTCCTTGCTACCGGTAGCTCCAGGTGAGGAACAAGGGAGGGGGGACAGGAGGGGGGAAATGGGAGGGGGTTGGGGGCGAGAAAAAGAAAGAAGGGCTCGAGGAGCCTCAACTGACCGTTAACCTGCCGCACCCCCCTTGCGACCTCCTTGCTACTTGCAGCTCCAGGCGATAGAAGAGGAGGGGAAGGGGAAGGGAGTGGCAGAATAGGGACACGGTGGCCGGAAAGGGGAGTGTTGAGGAGGTAGGGGACAGAGGGTGGGGAGGTTACAAGCAGGGACTGAGGAATTTACGGTGCGACTCTGTGTTGGATGCGAGCGTTCATTTGTGCTTCATGCATCAACCATGTGTCTTTGCTTAACCTGCCTTTCTCTTCGTTTGTGCCTTCGTTCATGCACACACCACCACTGCTGCCTCAGGTCTATCTACCTGTGGACAGTACCTGAGGATGCGGAGGAGGGCGAAGGGGAGGCAACCGGGGAAGCATCTCAGCAAGGATATGGGGGCACGGGGAGAGCAGGGCAGCAGCAAGCAGTGTCTTCTCCATTTGGTAGCAGAGGCACGATTCGCATGTTCAATGCGGACATATGGGGCAAAGGTAGAGGGAAGGGGCATGCCCTGGGGAATGCGAAGGGGAGTGGGAAGGGGAAGGGGAGGGGGAAGGGGAAGGGAAAAGCTGGGGAGGAGGAGGAAGATGAGGCGTTGATGGCAGCACTTGTGGAGTCTGCTGCTCTGGCTGTTGCTGCTAGGGTGGGGAAGAGTGCGGGTGGAAAGGGAGGGAGGGGAGGAGGGAAGGGAGTGGTGATTCGGGCACAAGAGGCAGATGTGGGGATGGTGAAGGGACGCCGCATGCAGAGTGGACAGCCAGTGCTTGCTGCTTGTACGACAGTGGATAGTGGGGAGGGTGAGTTCGAATTACAGGCAAAGGGTGGGGCGGAAAAGGGGAACAAGGGGAAGGGAAAGGGGAGAGGTGGAGGGAGAAGTGGGGGTGGAGCAGGTAGGGGTGGTGGTAGAGGGAAGAAGAAGGGCAAAGCGAAGGAATGGGATGAGAGTGAGGAGGAAGAAGAGGAGACAGCTGATGAAGAAGAGGAAGAGGAGGACGAGGAAGAAGAGGTGGTTCGCCCAAGTAACAAGCGATCAAGGGCACGCAGGTGACTGATCATGGAAGGCTCAGCTGTTTGTTTCATCCAAAGCATTACCAGCTTATGTTTGGTTGCTTAGTGTGAGTTGTTTCCACTATTATACGGCACAAGTAATGAGAAGAGTGAAACAGTTCACGTTTCAACGTTTGAGAAGATTACCGTATGTGGTTACCTGTACCTAGTTTTCGGGCTTGTAGTGCGCTGTTCCTGGCGCTGTATCTACTGCTCTCTTACCGTATGCACAAGCCCTGTTGCCGTTAGTGGTTGATGCACCCTATTGTTACTGCTGTGATGCACAAGCCCTGTTGTCGTTACTGGTTGATGCACCCTATTGTTACTGCTGTGATGCACAAGCCCTGTAGTAAGTGCTCTGATGCACGAGTTTTGTACTGGTTTTCTTAGGACGCGGCACCTGTTTTCATTTTGCCAGGATCGATCGTGGGAGGGAATCGATGTGCTGCCTGTACGGTACAGTGTATTGGCAACATCGCCAATGCCTGGTATCCGTTTTCCGCTGGACGTCGAGAATGTTCAGTATGCGGGTATCCAGATTGGTGGCACCTGCAGCTCGCACGATCGATGTGCCGTGGTGCATGCGTTAGGGTTGGCGGGAGAGCATATCGCGTCACAGGTGACAGCCTCGATCGATCGGCGTCGCCCACGGTCGCAGGCCAAAAATTCTTGAGTCGCTGCGAATGGAATTGCTGGACGACCATCCACGCTCTGCCCTGATTGGCTGCGCGTTTTAGTGTAATGGCAGCTCCAACCTGCCCGAGCCTGCAATTTCGATCCTGGCACCTATAGCTCGATGTGTCTACCCCACTGCAAATTTGCAGTGTGGGCACATCGGTGTGCCGATCGATATGCCAGGATCGATGTGAGGCCACGATCCTTGTAAAATGAAAACAGATGCCGCGTCTTTAATAGGCTACCCGTGTGCTCTGAAATCAGCATGGCTAGAGGGGCAAGTCGTGTGGTTAGCATGCCCCAAGGCACAAGCCTTGTGGTTAGCCTGTGCGTGCCCATGCAGGATGGGGAGGTGGGCCGCAGGGGGAGGAAAGGGGAGGGGCAACGCAGGGCGTGGGGTAAGGGGCAGGGAGAGGGGGGTGTGGGGGGAGTCCTATGCGGGGGGAGGAGGAGGGAGAGGAGATATCATGCCTGAGAGTGTAACTAGTCTAGATGTCCTATATCCTATTCAACCTATGGTACTTCCACTCTAGCCTATGTGAAACTGCTCCGGTTGTCCTGCAAGCAGACGAGAGGAGGCAAGTCACACGAGGATGTATGATACGTTGTGTGCTTGGGCTGGATCGAAAGGTATTGGGTGGATGCAGAAGAGAGTTTGGCCAGCGAGTGTGATGCAGGACAGTAAAGATAGGTTGTAGAAACTTACCAAGAAAAAAAAATATCAACTCATGAGCTATTCTCGTGCACCCTTGCTGCCAACCCGTTTCTCAGCCCACTGAATTTCATCACATCTGAAGGAGGAAACACGAGAGGAACAGCATGTGAAAGCAAATGAGAGGAGGAGAGGAGAAAAGTTGGAAGCCTGGTTAAAGGCATGTGAGGCGAGAAGGGGAGCAAATAGGAGCAAAGGGGAGGAAAACCAGGACCTTGAGGAAGAGGAAAGAGGGTTGGGTGAGCAGGCTTACCAGGAGAAGAGGACAATGCAATCCAGAGGCCTTGCCTGAAGTCCATCCCATGCCACCACTACTGCCCTTGCGTGAAGGAGGAAACGTGGGGATAAAGGAGGATATGAGAAGAGAGCAGGTGGCATGAAGGAAACGAAGGTGAGAGAGTGGAAGAAGCCGAGTGCAGATATACAGAGGGGCGGGGAAGAAATGAGGAACATTCCCCGGAGAGAGCTCAATTGAATCGCCCTTGCTTGATGCCTGTAAAGGGAAAAAGAATGTCGAGAGTGGGATTTGAACCCACGCCCTTTCGGACTGGAACCTTAATCCAGCGCCTTAGACCAACTCGGCCATCTCGACACGTCTTACAATTTGCTACTATCTACCTTGGACGAATACTTGTCCTTTAATTAAACAAAAATCTGGGAAGGTGACGAGGCAGAGATGAAAGGAAAGCGAGAGGGGAAGGAGCAATTTCCGTAGAAAGGGGTGGGGAAGGGATGAGGAACGTACCACGGGAAGAGGGCTCCGTTGATTCGGCCTTGATTGTTACCCCTTGCTACTACTACTGTACCGCTGCCGCTGCAGCTCCCATGCTGCGCTGTAAGATGCGAGGCAGAAGAGGAGGGGACGACGTGAGAGATGCATCGATGACGTAGATAGGAGAAGATAGAGAGGGGGTTGACAAGGGGGAACAAGGGAATGGCGGAGAAGTCTTACCACGCACCATTGAAATGCCGTGTGGCCGAAGCTTGAGAGAGGAAATCAGGATTCCGAAGGTGTTGGCTCAGAAAGAAGCATTCAGTGGAGCAATCTGGAAGATTACGAACGATTGAGAATGGTGCAAGCGATTCAACAAAGCTGGTGGTAGGGAGGCAACTCCCTAGCGCGGGACTCCAAGCTCGTCGGAATTCCGCCGCCAGTCCCGCTCACACGACCCGTTCCGCGCGTGACGACCGGAGGAGCAACGCCTAGAATTCGAACACCCAAGCCTCACTTCTTGCCAACGGCTAGCGAATGCTTCCCTTATTTAGGGACAAAAATCCCGCGAGGTCGTGCTTCCGAAACTAACGACTCGTCAGATTATGTTGAGAAACTACCATTAAAACAGGAAGCATCGCCTCCTACCGTGGTACGTCTTCTGTTCTAAACCACAGTGGAGTGGGAAAGAAAAGGCTGGTCTGAGCTCGTGCCTGAAACACGTGCCTGGGCTGGTTGCATGCGAGGCGTGAGACCAAACATCACCTTGGGATTTCAGTAGATTGAAATGCATGTAGGGCCATGCTGGTGACAGCACATTCGCGCCAACATTCGCGTGGCATCTGACAGATGCTGCTGGCAAGCTGTTGCCAGGTGAATCTCGTTGCATACCAAAATCCCTGGGCCAGGATAAGTTAATCTACGAAAAACAGCTTAGAGAGAGCATCAAAGTAGTCATTAACGCGGATATACAGAGAAACCTGTGTGTTCCACAAGCTGTGTGGCTTACTGGCGGTTTGCTTACCAAAGTGGTCCATTCAAGTATGCAAAATGGTTGGGTACGGTTCTGAGCGAAACTGAAATCGGTGAATTCTCCCATGAAAACGACATCCCCTACAGATCGGATTGGACCAGTTGGTTGCTTCATTTCAGCACAGCAGCTTGAAGCATGCCCGTCCGTGCCCTTCCTCATGCTTCTAGTGGTGAAGCGTACCTTAATTATTGCCGAGCAAACAATTCCAGAAATACAACCTTGAGTATCGCCACAGCATACAGAAAACAACATAGGTATATTTCAAAAAATTGTACGCACTCAACCATGCTTGCCACATCACATGCCACACCTCCACTCCCCAACCCAACCCCTCTTCCCTCCGTGCAATGCATTGGAAGGGCATGGCAGGTAAGGCAGCCATGCTTGCCGCAAGGCACACCTCCACTGCCCCGACCCCACTTCCCTCCTCTTTCCTCCCACACTGTCTTCCCTGCCTTCCATCATGCTCCACTGCCCTCCAGATGTTGCCCGCCTGGATATGGCATGATATCACGCCACACCATGCCATGCCACCAAATGACATGCCACACCCTGCCATGCCACCAAATGACATGCCACCATGCCATGCCACCAAATGACATGCCACCATGCCATGCCACCAAATGACATGCCACACCATGCCATGCCACAAAATGACATGCCACCATGCCATGCCACCAAATGAGATGCCACACCACCATGCCATGCCACCAAATGACATGCCACACCACCATGCCATGCCACCAAATGACATGCCACACCATGCCATACAATGGCATACCCCAGTATGGCACGCAGTAACAAGCCACACTGAATCACACCTCTGTGCATTCAACCGCACTGCATCATGCCACACTGCATCACATCAAACCCTGCATAACACACTGTACCACACCACTTGTATCTTACAACAACTGTATCATACCGTACTATTATCAGACCCCACTGTATCATACCACACCATATGTTACCGCTGTATCATACTACACTGGAATCACACCAAACTGAACCATACCAGTGTGTATCATCCCAAACTGTACCCAAGGGGTTTCAGCCCCATTCCACCTCACTTCACCACTCAAGGAATTTCAGACTGCACTTACCCTGGGGGATTCAGGCCCCCACCATTGCCGCTCACTGCACTTACACTGGGGAATTCAGCCCCTTTCACTTGCTCTCACCCACCCAAGGCGACTCAGCCCCTTTCACTTGCACTCACCCACCCAAAGGGACTCAGCCCCTTTCACTTGCACTCACCCACCCAAGGGGACTCAGCCCCTTTCACTTGCACTCACCCACCCAAGGGGACTCATCCCCTTTCACTTGCACTCACCCACCTAAGGGGACTCAGCCCCTTTCACTTGCACTCACCCACCCAAAGGGACTCATCCCCTTTCACTTGCACTCACCCACCTAAGGGGACTCAGCCCCTTTCACTTGCTCTCACCCACCCAAGTTGACTCAGCCCCTTTCACTTGCTCTCACCCACCCAAGGGGACTCAGCCCCTTTCACCCACTCATGCGCATCATGCAAGGGTGGCATTAGTGCAACTCATCTTGTGTGTGACAAAGGGCAGCACATGAAAAGCAACAGAGGGAGGGAGGGTTGGGAGAATAGGGGAAGCGCGGGGGTACTCAGCTGTGGGTGGGTTGGGTGGAGAGCAGATGCTGTGTGTGCACTCTATGTCCCCTGGCAGTGCCACTTCCGTGTGAGCGTCCTGCTGCCCTCCTGCTGCCCTCCTGCTGCCCCCGTGCTGCCCTGCTGCTATGCTGCTACAGCCTTCAATGGTTTGGGAGGGAGGAAAAGGGAGGTGAGAAGGAGAGAGGCAGGGGATCAGCAGTGAGAACAGGGAGAAGCGTGAAGGCAGGGAGAGAGCAAGAAAGAAAAGTGAGCATGGGGAGCAGACCAAGCAGCAGCATGAGGAGGGAAAGGAGGCTCACCTTGGTTCAGACGACCCAATCCCGATACTCTCCCATCCCATCCCAGCCGAGTGGAGTGCTGCCCCCCTCCCCTCCCCACTGCCACCTGCACGGTCACAGGGGAGGGGCGTGAGGGAGCGTCGGTGTTGACCCCACACCCCTCCCCGCCACCTGCAACGCGCACACACAGAGCTAGTCAGAGCGCGGTGGTGGGAGCAAGTTGAATGGGAGACTGTGACTTGAAATCCAGCACAAGGGAAGGGAGGAGGAGCCACTGGTGGAGGCACGGCCACAAGCTGCAGACCCAAGGGCACCTGAAAAAAAACCTGAGGGGTGTACCTGCACCTGAGAGGGTTACCTGAAGAGTGGGGGTCTGTAGCATGTGAACCACGCTCGACCAGTGGGAAAGTTTCAAGAAGACGGTGCAAAGCAATTGAGACAAACGAAACGATGCTGCAGGCGAGGGTGCAGGCAAGGGGGGAACTTAGCTGATTGTGTGGTGCAGGCGGAAGGGATGGGTGCTTCAATGGCGAGTGGGCAGGGCGAGCGGGGCTTGAAGGGACGGACCTGCGAGGCAGAGGAGAAGGGAGAGAGAGATAGAGGGATAGTAAGAGGCAGGTGGGAGCGAGTGACACTTTCAAACGAGAAGACAGGGAGCAGTGTGAGTGCAAAATGACGGTGCATGTGACGCCAACCACAACCCCACAAGAGCCGTTACCAACCTGAACCTGCACCTGCACCTGAACCTGCACCTGAACCTGAGGGGGAGTGGGCTCGAGTGGAGTGCGGTGGCAGGGGCGATACTGCAACCTCAACCGTTGATAAGGCCGGCGCTGCTGCCCCGTTGCCCGCGCTCCTGCTGCCCGCCCTGGTGCTCCCCTCGCCTGCTGCTCGCCTGCTGCACTCCCCCTGGCTTGTGAAGGCCTGACAGGGAAGGGAGGGGAGGGAGGGCAGGGCGGAAAGGAAAGGCAGCCGAAAGTAAGAAGGGTTGCAAAGGAGAAAAGTGTCAAACACACGTGCAACAGCAGAAACGACAGTGCATGTGACGCCAACCACAACCCCACAAGAGCCGCTACCTACCTGCACCTGCACCTGCACCTGCACCTGAACCTGAACCTGAGGGGGAGTGGGCTCGAGTGGAGTGTGGTGGCAGGGGCGATACTGTGACCTCAACCGTTGATGAGGCCGGCGCTGCTGCCCCGCTGCCCGCCCTGGTGCTGCCTGTGCACTCCATTCCATGTCCCCCGCCACTGCCTTTCCCATGTGAACGACCCACTGGGACGAGAGAGGACAGAGAGAGGAAGGGAGGAGGAGGGGGAAAGGACGGAGGTGTGACAAGGAAGAAAGGGAGGGTGATGAGGAAAGAGGCGAAGGCAAGCGAGTGACGTGAGAGCGAACAAGTGCGAGAGTGAAGAGTGGATGGATGGACTACTGCAGTGGCACACCCAAGAGACCTCGTACCAGCTGAACCACAAACAAGCAAATACCTGAGGCTGTACCAAAGTTTTGAACCTGCTACCTTGGGGGAGGAGGTCTCTTGAGTGTGACATAGGGTAGTAAAGAAGGGCGTGGGATGCATGGTGCAAGCAAGACATGAAAGCAAGGCAGCACGAGGGATGGGAGGAGAAAAGGGCACTTAGCTGGTGGTGTGACAGCAGGAGCATGGGCGTAGGCAGTTGAAGGAGCATGGGCAGCAGGCATGGCAAGGCGTGTCACATGCACTGCAGCATGGCTCGTGCGCTGCTGGGAGGGAGGGGGAAGGGGAGTTGGAGGGGGGGTGGAAGGGGGAGGGGAGGGGGGGGCGGGAGGGGGAGGGGATGGGGGGCGGGAGGGGAGGGTGCCAAAGAGTCAAGAGAGCGTCAGGGGGAGGAGCAGAGGATTGGGGAAGGCAAAGAGGAAAGAAGTGAAGACGGGTGGAGTGACGAGAGAGCGTTGAGCGCAGAAATTGCAAGAATATTGCGTGCATGAGTGGACTGCTGCAGTGGCACACCCAAGAGACCTCGTACCGGCTGAACCAAACTCAGACGAATACCTGAGGCTGTACCAAACGAAAAGATACCTACTACCTTGGGGGAGGGAGGTCTCATCGGTGCGACAGTGAGCATAGATAGAGGGAGTATGATGCATGGTGCAAGCACGACATGAAAAGCAACACAGTGTGAGGGTTGAACAAGGCACTTAGCTGGCGGTGAAAGAAGCACCGAGAGCTGATGCTGCTGCCGCGCCACCATTTCGCCGTGCAACGACGCGCGGACGACGATTTCGCCGTGCGACGACGCGCGGACGACGATTTCGCCGTGCGACGACGTGCGGACGACGATTTCGCCGTGCGACGACGCGCGGACGACGAATTGGCCGTGCGACGACGCGCGGACGACGACGATTCGCCGTGCGACGACGCGCGGACGACGATTTCGCCGTGCGACGACGTGCGGACGACGATTTCGCCGTGCGACGACGCGCGGACGACGAATTGGCCGTGCGACGACGCGCAGACGACGACGATTCGCCGTGCGACGACGCGCGGACGAAGATTTCGCCGTGCGACGACGCGCGGACGACGGTTCCGCCGTGCGACGACGCGCGGACGACGGTTTCGCCGTTCGACCACGCGCGGATCTCGCAAACGGCCATCGATTCCGCCGTCCATTCTGCCAAACGCTCTCCTGCAGGAGGGAGAAACGCGAAATAGCATCTACGAGCGTGAGAAGCGCTAGCTGAAATCGGTGCATCAAAAGCGCGGGTGCGAATGGAGGCACGATAAGCGCGCGGGAAGGAGCAGGCAGCGACGGTCAAGAGCACAACGGCGCGGACCCCATCGTACCTCGTCGTCGCTCTCGTCTTCGGCTATACTCGCACCAACATTCTACGCCCGAAAACCTTTCTCGCAACGCCCGATCAACGACTTTCCACGGAGGATGTGACGAAATCGACGGTCTGAAACAGCACGAGGCGACGTAGAATTTGCCTGCTGACGCTCCGCCAAATCCTTCTCCAAGCTCCGCGTTTTCTCGTCCCAAGAAACAGATCGGTCGCCAGCGAAAGAATAACAGCAGCGAAAGCGTTTCGTGGGAACTAGCGCTGAGCATCCGGCGGTGAGCAACTAGAGGTGAGGAGGAGAATGAAAGGCGAATGTTGAGTGAGGTGGGCGTGAGAAGCGGCACGTTGAGGAAGAAACGAGGCGAGTTTGCGGTGTGGCGGGGAATGTGCCATGCCAAGTGCTGCCTGCCTTCCCAACCAACCTCGAGATTCCCGAATTGCTTTCGGCCACACGGCAACGGCGGGACCAGAGTGGTGGAAATTCGATGAGCGAAGGGTGTTGGCGAAAGTTTGAACTCGCTCGCGGGTGAAAAGTCGTGGCGAAGGATGCTACAAAAGAGCTGACGATGATGGCTTATTTCGTGACGTTGCCCCCAAGCAGAATTCGCCAAGTGGAAAGAGGGTCATCGATCGCAAGCTTGCGGAAGCGCAACCCCCCAAAGTCTGACACAAAGGCGGATTTGCGCAGACTTTCCGGATAGTGGGGCGCGAGTTCGTCGAAGTTCGGACACTTGCTCCAACGGCTAGGCTTCGGGTACCGCAATGTGTGGTTTGCGGGGAAGTCTCCGCCAAATGGGCCCAGCATGCCTGACACTGGCAATGCAATAATCAGTACACCAATCTCTGATGTGTACTCCTTGTAAAAAAACCCTTAATATTTTGAGGAAATTCATAGTTACATTCTCATAACCGTACCCAAAAATTTTAGTAACTTGAATGTAGCTCTTAGGATACTTTATCGCCATTATTCACACAGCTTGTGGAACACACAGCTGTACAGGGCTTGTACCGGTACGATGCACCTGTAATATGAAAGTTGTATAGTTAATATGAAGGTTGTTAGTGAAGTAATTTGTAGTGAAGCACTGAGCCGACCCCTAGACATTCGTCATGCTCAGGGCCACTCTGGTCTGGGCTGGAGTTTACATGTTCTTGAAATCTAACTCCCATCCATTCACTCCGCTGCACTGCGCGGCACACATTCTTCTTTCATTCCCACTTCACGGCAATCAATCGTTGCGGCCAAGAGCTGACAGATCCATTGCAAGCATCAATTCGTCTCCTTTTTTATTTCAAGTCGCATGATCGCATCGCAAGCATCAACAACCATTCGCACGTTCTTCTTTGGATTCTGGAATCCATCGCACAGATCTCTCACTGTCGATGGATGAGATTGCAGCCAAGGCTAAGGAGCTTATGAAAGGATGGACCTCGCCCTTTGCGCAACAATCCAGCTTTCAGGGCCAGGGGCGCAAGCTCGGCGGCGGGGAAGGCTCGTCCGGCGGAGCGGGGGGAACGCGCCCGCTAGGCGTTCCGCGCACGGGCGCAGCGGCGGGGCGGGCGCTGCATGAGACGGCGGAGCGGCAGGAGCAGCTGCAGAAGCAGCAGAAGGAGGAGTGGCGGCAGCAGATGCACCAGCGGTGGGCGGGGGCGGGAGCGGGACCGCCGACGGCGCAAGAGCAGGGTCCGGGTAAGGCGCAGCAGGCGCGGGAGCAGCAGCAGCCGCAGCAGCTGCGCTCCACAGGATTTGCAGGGGGAGGTGGCGTCGGCGCCGGTGCTGGCGCGGGCGCGGGCGCGGGTGGGGGTGCTGGTGCCGGTGCTGGTGCTGGCGCTGGTGCTGGCGCTGGTGCGGGGGCGGGTGCGGGCGCTGGGGCTGGCGCTGGCGCTGGCGCCGGTGCTTGGGGAGCCGCTGCGTCGTCTGGTATGGTGCGTGCCACGTGTCCTGTGTGCTCTGTATATTCGGGCAGCGAAGCTGACGTGGCAGCACACGTGGACGAATGTTTGACTCGAGGATTGGAGCGCTCCACTGCTGCAGACGAAGCGGGAGCAGCGCCAACGCAGGCACAGACAGCAGCGCAGACAGCAGCAGAAGCAGCAGCCGAAGCAGCATCAGGAGTAGCAACTCGAGACGAGTCAGCAATAGCAGACCAGCAGGTAGGAGGCAGTGTGAGTGGAGCAACCGAAGCAGCAGCATCAAGAGGGACGGAGCAAGCGATCTCTGGACACAGCCAGGAGCAACTGATGACGGGCAAAGACAACCCCACTGGCACGGGTACAGTGACAGATACAGGCGCCCATGATGATGCTATGGAGTCGGTGCATCACGCTGCTGCTGTTGTGCTCTCTGCCAGCCCGCCAGGAGCCACTCTCGACATCCTCACGCGCATCCTGCGTAACATTGTAACCGATCCTGGTAACCCGAAGTTCAAGCGCATTCGCCTGGGCAACCCGCGGATTGCGGATACGGTTGGCAAGGCAGCAGGGGCAATGGATCTGCTGCGGTCCGTGGGGTTTGAGATGGTGGACGAGGCGGTGGAAGGCGGTGCAGCAGGGGGGAGTGCGGTGGCAGGTGGTGTGGAGCGGTGGGCAGTGATGACGGATGTGAGGCTGGAGCTGGTGAGTGAGGCGGTGGCGGTGCTCTCGGCCGTGGGAGGGCAGAGTAGTGCTCCTGCTGCTCCTGCTGCTGCTACGGCTGTCGGTTCTGGAGCTGGTGTTGCGGGAGGGAGTGCCGGTGCTACTCCTGCTGCTGCTGCACCAGTCTCTGCGGCGTCAGCGGAGGGCGGGGAGCAGGAGGCAATGGCACCCATGCCCAGGATTGACCGGCAGGTATGGAATGGGTGAATGCAATGGGGTTGGGCACAGATCGGATTTTGTTGCATGGGTCACGTCAGCAGGTGAGCGTGAGACATGCAATTGTTGGGATCATACTCGGGTTCGTTCATCCTCTCAGCTCTCACCTTCTCGCATCCTGCCCCGGATCCTTTTCCCTGCACTTCCTTCCCCACACACCTCCCTGCTTCCCCGTGCCCTGCATCCCTCCCTGTACTCCCCCCCCTCCCTTCCCCGCTCCTCTTGCACCCCCCCTCGCATGCCCAACACCAGGTGCGGGTGTTCCTATCCACAGAGGAGAACAAGGCGGCGCGCATCGAGGTTCCAGACTCCTTCTTCGACCGCACGGCAGAGGACGTGCGGCAGGAGGCCATGGCGCGGCGCCGCGCACAGGAGGGCGCGCAGCTGCTCATGACGCGCGCCATGCGCGAGAGGCAGGCCGCTGCTCTCAAGCGCCGGTACCGTGCGGCCATTGTGCGCGTCATGTTCCCCGATGGGCTCGTGCTGCAGGGCGTGTTTCGGCCCAGTGAACCCACTGCTGCGCTCTATGAGGTGTGTGCGTGCGTGGGTGGGTGGACACACGGGTGGATGGGTGCGTGGTGGGTTGAGGCATGTGTGTGAGGTTGGGTTTGGCGCAATGTCGCGTGATTAACACTTAGCTGGCAACTAAGTGTGAATTACACAGCAGCCAAGGTGAGGTGTACTATAGTTTACTGCTTTTTGCATTTTACTTTGTTTGCTCTTTTGGAATGTTACTGTACTATACAGAGTCGAGCTGCTGAGGATTTCGAGGTGGTTGGGGGGGAGGTTGGTGGCGAATTCGATTCCAGCCAGCCTGGGAATTCAATTCGCCATTCACCAGGCTGGAAGGCGGTGCATGCCTAGTGGGCCGAGTGGGACCCAGCTAGCACCTTGAAGCCTACGCGATCAGCTCGGCTGACTCGCGCTTAGGAGTAGAGGTAGCTTGCGGGACAAGGCACCTAGGCAGGAGGGGATGTAGACTGGGGTAGCGCTCAGACTCGTTGCTTTTTGCTTGTATGTTTCTCGTTTACTGCAATTGTGATTTCCTAAACCACGGGGAACTAGCAGTAGAGAGGAGCTGAAGCAAATCGGCGGAGCCCTTGCGAGGGAGTTAAGTCTTGTTTCATACAAGCAAAAAGGGTAGTCAGGATTACGATTGTTGAGAGAAGAGGTGGCAGGATCTACTGCCTGGAGTTGCCCACGGTGATGCACCGTGAGGAATGAGTAATTTCGACCGTGAGCTTCACACTCATCAACTGCGCTCTGGACACCGATTCCCGGCGAGGATGATGGAGGGACGTGATCCGCCGGTCAGGATGCCTGGATTTCGGGCGGGCGAAGGAGGGACGATCTCGCGCGGTAACCAAGGCGGGGATCGGGAGGAAGAACGAGGTGTACACGGAGAACAACAGTCGAGCTCTGCATGCGACTCGCCCGCGGAGAGGAGTGGAGGGCGACCTGTGGGGAGTGGATCTCGCCGAGGAAATCCAGATCTGGGAGGAGACGATCAACATGAAGATCGACGAAGTCAGAAGGGAGGGGAAGATCATCGAGAAGAACGGCGGAGTCAGAGAGGAGAAGAAGATCAACGTGAAGAAAGGCATAGTCTGAGGGGAGGAGACGATCAATCGGTGGAACGACGAAGTCAGCGAGGCAAGGAAGCATATCACGGATTCTCTGCTGGAGGATACGAAGCCATGGAGGACGGGAGAGCAGGGCGACCTGCAGGGAGTGGAGAAGGAGGGAACACAAGCTGGGGGACAGGCAGGTCGATGAGTACTACACCACCCAAAATTGAGGTACCAGACCGCTTCTCGGGGGCACCCGGAGAGGAGCCCACGCTGAAAAACTACCTGATGATGATTGAAGACATTCGCTACTGCTGGGATAGGGAGCGACTGGATCCTATTGAATTTTTCAGAGGCTTGGGGAGGACTCTCAAAGGAGAGGCGTTGACTCATTACCGCGTGGAGAGGCAGGGGCTGCTGATGCGGAGCAACAGAGGAGATATCTTACCGGCAGATATTACGGACCGTTTCTTGGAAAGCCTGCAGGAGCAGTTCCCGGGGCATTCGGCTGACCGGATGGCGGAGTTTCAAGACTTCAGAAGAGCGCCGGCAGAGTCGATGTTGGCCTACTATAACCGTTTACTGGAGCTGGCAGAGGATATGGGCTGCGTGGAGGAGCGCATCCTAGTGACCAAGTTCGTCAACGGACTGGATGGGGACTTGATACGAGACATGAGAAGCCGACTATACTCCTTGGGGGTACGGGCGAAGCTGCGACAGGTGTACCAGGTGGCGAAAGAAGTGGAGGATGGAAAGAGGTTTTTCGAAGGAATGAGGGGGTCAAGCTCCAGTCGGCCGAGCGAACGTCGGAGGCCTGCTTGGGCAGCGGTGGAAGGGAGACAGGGGGAAGAGGAACGAAGAGAGAGGCCGTCTGAAGATAGACGCAGGTGTTACAAGTGCGGCGAAAAGGGGCACGTGCGGAAGGACTGCGCCATAGACATAGTGTGCGACACATGCAAGATGAAAGGACATTTCAGACGTGACTGCCCCAAGGCACCTATCTGCACCGGGTGTGGGAAAAGGGGGCATACTGAAGACAGGTGCTACAGCAAGGGAGAGAGAATGCGAGGAAAATCGGCAAGGGAGTTACAGTTAGAGAGAGAGGTGGCGAAGCTGAAGGGACAGTTGGAGAAGACTGAGATTAGTGAGGACCCTGAGAAGGCATTGCTGGCTTGGGAGGACGATGAAGAGGAGGAGTATGAGAGAGAGGAGGCAGAGTACGGGGCCATGGCCATACCACCTAGAGACCGAGAGGAGTTGGGGCTGCGCAGCGGCGGGAAGGATGGCAGGACAGAGCAGAAGCAGCCTGAAAGGAGAACCCCTCGGCAACAAGAAGAAAGCCATAAGCCGAGGACGGCTCGACGGCATCCTGAGGAGAGACTCGTCTGCCAACCCACGGCCCTGGTGGTAGAACCTAAGGCAGTGGCTGTCAGGGGCATATTAGTGGAGAACGCCGTGGTGGATACAGGCGCACAGAGTGTCCTGCTGGGAAGGAAGCTGACAGAACAGTTACGGGAGAAAGGGGACTTGGAAATAGTAAACAGAGGCATACTGATCATGACAGCCGAGGGAGGGGCACCAAAGTGGATGCCCTGTACTAAGGACCCCATCGAGATTACTCTGCAGCCGGGAGAGAAGGGAGAAACGACGATAAGAGTGCAATGTGGGCTGACGGAATCGGAGGATTATGATGTTCTGCTGGGGATGGAGCTGCTATTCAAGATAGGTACAACAATTTGTACCTGGCAGGAACAGGTGCTCTACCGCTCGGATTTCTGGATTGAGGGAAAGGAGTTGAGTGAGCTGCCAGTGCGGTTTGTCAAGACAGAACCGAAGAAGGCTTGGAGGGCGGAGGGCATGAGAAGAGAGAGCGTAAGGAGGGGGAGTACCAAAGAGGGCAAGGTCGGAGCTAACCTGAACCAGTATAGCGTTACCTTAGTGGAGCTGTTTGGAGGGCTGGGGGCAGGCTTAGTGGCGGCACTGGAAGCAGGGCTGAAGGTGAAAAGATGGGTGTATGTGGAAATAGACCCGGAGGTGAGGAGGATGGCTTGGAAGCATGCACAGATACTGCAGCAGCGGTACCCAGCTCAACTGGCGAAGGAAGTGATACGGGAGGCCATGCAGAATGAGAAGTGGGATGTGGGACAGCTTACCAAGGAAGACGTGAACCGCTGGGGAAAGGTGGACCTGTTGGTAGCAGGGTGGGAGTGCCAGGGTACTTCCCGAGCGGGGAAGGGAAGAGGAATGCAGGATGACCGCACGGCGATGGTGACAACACTGCTGACGATTATGAGGTGGGCGAGAGAATCTGGCGGGGAATATGCGTACATCCTAGAACATGTGGATATGAGGAGTGATAGCAGGGAGCCGGTCCGAGCCGTACGCGAACTGGTGGAAGCAGAATTGGGAAGGGGAGTGAGTTGTGACGGGGCACAGCTGGGGGCAAGGTGTCATAGAGTGCGGCAGTACTGGCAGAACGTCCTGCCAGAAGGAGAATTGAGGGCGAGATTAGCAAGGGTGGAGAGAGATGAGAGCCGAATCGTGGAAGACATTCTGGAACCAGGGAGAGTGGCCGCCCCAGTGGTAAAGCCAGATCATCCGCGACAGTATCAGTGTAACCGAGTGGGGGAAGCGAGGAGGGCCTGGCCGACACTGGTGGCCTATGCAAAGGCACGGGGATTTGTCGAAGTGGAAGGGACTCCAGGTCCAGGGATGGTGTATGATCACCGTAAGAAAAGATGGGAGGAGCCGACTGCTTTGGAGAGGGAATTAGCCATGGGGTACCTGCCGGGGGCAACTGCAGCAGATGGAGTAGGGGAGGAGGTGCGCAAAGCTGCCTTGGGCCGAGCCATAGACCAGCACTCACTGCGATGGCTAATTAGTGAGATGAGAAAGGGGCCAGCCGAGAAAAAGGGAAAGACGGAAGAGGAGAAGTGCAGGGGCAGCAAGCAGGCTGCTTACGCCGCTGTCAGCAAGCTCACAGACGAGAAGGAGATCAAAACTGCACCACCAGTAGGGACGGAAGCAGAGCCGGGCAAAACCTGGGAGCTGGGGGCAGGTATAGGGGAGCAAGCAGCCGAAGCAATCAGGGAGGTGTTGCAGCAGCATAGGGGCACCTTCGCCTATAACCTGCAGGAATTGGGGAGATACAAGGGGAGAGAGCTGGAGCTGAACCTCACGACTGAGCTACCTACATACCAACGCAGGAGGCGAATGAATGCGGAGGATGCAGCCATCTGCAAGGAGAAATGTGAGGAGTTGCTAGCTGCAGGGATTATTCGCCCGTCAGAATCAAGTTACGCGGCGGCCACGGTGGTGGCTGCTAGGAAGGACATCACGGGAAAGATTCTAGCGAAGCGGATGTGCGGGGATTTTCGGGAGCTGAACAAGATTACAAGCCCAGACAGATACCCTATGCCGACTGCTGAAGACATTTTCGACCGGCTGGAAGGGGCCACCGTCTTTACCACCTTGGACCTGCGGCAGGGCTTCAATCAAATAGGCATTAGAGAAGCAGATAAACGGAAAACAGCATTTCACGGGGTGGACGGTTTGTATGAGTACAACGTTATGCCTTTCGGGCTTCGTAACGCACCAGCAGTGTTCCAGAGAGCCATGGATCAAGTGCTGAAGGGGGTTCCAGCCGCAGCATGCTACATTGATGACGTGTTGATTTACAGCAGCAGCAAAGAACAGCATGTGCAAGATCTGAAGCAGACTCTGGAGGCAATAGCAGCTGCGGGGCTGACGTGTCACCCAGATAAGTGTAAGATAGCGAGGCACACGGTGGCTTACCTGGGGTTTGAAGTGAAGGGCGGTCGGCTGGCCATACAAGAGGCAAAGGTTAAGGTGCTGGAGAACCTGGCAGCGCCAAAGGATAAGACAGGGCTGCGGGCGTTACTCGGCTTCCTGAATTATTACAGGAAGTTTGTGTCAAACTTCAGTCGCCGTGCCTACGTGCTGAACCAGCTGCTGAGGGAAGGGAAGAGCTGGCAATGGGGAGAGGTGGAGGAGGCAGCAAGGCAGGACTTGCTCGAAGCAGTTAGGACAGGGACCTTACTGCAGATACCGAGGGCAGAAGCGCCTTTCATCCTGTACACGGACTGGAGCAGTACGGGAATGGGAGCGGTGCTCTGCCAAGAAATCGAGGGAGAGGAAAGAGTGATAGCCTTTGCCAGCCGAAGCTGCAGCCCATCCGAGGCTAACTACTGCTCATACGAGGGAGAGGGCCTGACGGCAGTGTGGGGAATCACGCATTTCAAGGTATACCTACAGGGCCGGCACTTCACATTAGTGACTGATCATCAGCCACTGCTATGGTTGATGACTAATCAAGAGCTGACGGGAAGAAACGCTCGATGGGCTATCAAGTTGTTGGGATTTGACTTTGAGATCCGGCACCGACCGGGTAAAACACTGCAGCATGCAGATGGGCTGTCAAGGAACCCACCACCGATGCAGCCGGTAGCGCAGCTGGCGGCCTTAGCCCACACCGTGGCCGTAAGCTGGGGGCAGGAGAAGGGAGAGAAGCGGTTAGCAGATATATGGGAGGACGAGGAGACCATGAGCTGGATCAAAGGGAAGCCACTGGAGGAGGAAGGCGTAAGTGAGAGAGCAAGAGCCAGAGGGCAGCATTACAGATGGTTTCAGGAGCAGCTGCAGCTGAGGACCAGCGAAGGATGGAGGGTAGTGCCGCAGCCGCAAGAGAGGAACAGGATCATGGGGAAGGTGCATGCGAAGCTGGGACATTACGGCATCACCAGGACACGGCAGCTGCTGAGCACCATGTACTGGTGGGCAAGCATGGGGAAGGATGTGGCAGGACTGGTAGCCAGCTGCGAGGCTTGTCAAAGGAATAAAGCAAGGCTGGAAAAGGAGAGGGAGGAGCTGCACTCACTACCGATTCGGGGGTTAGGTTACAGGTGGTCGCTGGACCTGGCAGGAGAGTTACCATTATCAAAAGGAGGGAAGCAGTACATCCTGATCATGGTTGAGCACACGAGCAAATGGGTGGAGGCGCGAGCATTACCAAGCAAGAGTAGCGCACTGATAGCGGACGCATTCGAGGAGTTAGTCCTGACCAGGTACGGTGCATGTGGGGAGGTGCTTACCGATCAAGGGACAGAATTTCAAGGGAGCTTTGATGAGCTGCTAGAGGAGATGGGCATTACGCATCGTGTCACCTCAAGGTATCACCCTCAATCGGACGGGCTGACAGAGAGGCTCATACAAACCGTGAAGAAAGGACTTCGGGCCTATGGAGAGACACACAAGAGGAGTTGGGACAGGGATCTCTGGTGGGTGCTTGCGGGATACCGGTTTGCGAAGCAGGCAGCGCTGAAGCATCTGTCCCCGTATCATCTACTGTACGGACGGGACCCGGTGCTACCTGTGGATGCACCGAAGCTGCTCTCGGCGACGATTGAAGCGGACGAGCCGAGCCTGTGGGCGGGATTAGCGGAGAAGAGGGCGAGGTATCTGAAAGAGCTGACTCCAGCTGCCTTGGATAATCTACACGTGGCGCAGCTGAGGGATGCAAGGCGGTACCAGCAGCGCAAAGCAGGAGGGATGGGAGGAAAGAGTCACCAAGTGGAAGCGGGGCAGGAGGTGTACCTGCGCAGGGCTAAGCGAGATACGCTGGACTTAGCTGTGGGACCGGAGCGATGGAGGGTGAAAGAGGTAAGGGAGTCGGGGGTGCTAGTGCTGGAGGATGATCGAGGGGAGTACCTGAAGGAGCATATCACCAACGTGGCCAGGGCGGGAAGGGAGAAGCCTCAGGCATTGGATCCCGTGTCTGGAGCAGCTCGGGTGCGTGCTCAGTCACGGGAGGGGGCAGGGAAGCCTGAGATACGAGGAGGGGATCAGAACAGAGTGATTACATACGCCAGGAGGAAGAAGGGATGAGCCGGTCACCTGGATGAGAGGTGGAGGGAGAGGGAGTGAGGAAGTCAGGCAGGGATGCAAGGGAGAGTGAGAAGGAAGGGACAGCAGAGGGGATTCACGACAGCTGTCGCGTGATTAACACTTAGCTGGCAACTAAGTGTGAATTACACAGCAGCCAAGGTGAGGTGTACTATAGTTTACTGCTTTTTGCATTTTACTTTGTTTGCTCTTTTGGAATGTTACTGTACTATACAGAGTCGAGCTGCTGAGGATTTCGAGGTGGTTGGGGGGGAGGTTGGTGGCGAATTCGATTCCAGCCAGCCTGGGAATTCAATTCGCCATTCACCAGGCTGGAAGGCGGTGCATGCCTAGTGGGCCGAGTGGGACCCAGCTAGCACCTTGAAGCCTACGCGATCAGCTCGGCTGACTCGCGCTTAGGAGTAGAGGTAGCTTGCGGGACAAGGCACCTAGGCAGGAGGGGATGTAGACTGGGGTAGCGCTCAGACTCGTTGCTTTTTGCTTGTATGTTTCTCGTTTACTGCAATTGTGATTTCCTAAACCACGGGGAACTAGCAGTAGAGAGGAGCTGAAGCAAATCGGCGGAGCCCTTGCGAGGGAGTTAAGTCAAGCCTGAGATACGAGGAGGGGATCAGAACAGAGTGATTACATACGCCAGGAGGAAGAAGGGATGAGCCGGTCACCTGGATGAGAGGTGGAGGGAGAGGGAGTGAGGAAGTCAGGCAGGGATGCAAGGGAGAGTGAGAAGGAAGGGACAGCAGAGGGGATTCACGACAGCAAACATTCACTGCCCTTACACATACCATGCAGCGCATTCCCCTCCTCCCTGTCTGCTCTTTGGCTGCTGCTCCTATTACTCGTTCCATCGCCCTCCCACTCCCTCGCAACCCTCCTACTATCTTCCCTCCCTGATCCGTCCCCCCTCCACTCCCCTCTTCCCCCTCTTGATACCTCTCTATTAGCACCTCCGTCCAGGCTTACCCAGTCCGCCCTGCACATCTCCGTTCCACCCCACCCACACACCCGGTCAAGTTCATAACAAAGCGTTATAGAGCCCATCTCAAGGCTCATTTCCACTTACTCCTTCCTCCCCTCCACTTCCCTTCTCTCCCCTTCTCTCATCCCCTCCCCTCTTCTTCCCTTTGTTCCCTCCCCTCCCTTTCCTCTCCTCCCCTCCCTTTTCCTTCCCCTTCATTTCCCCACCCCCTCTACCAGTTCGTGGCAGAGGCACTCAAGGACCCCACACAGGAGTTCCTTCCCTTCCTCACTCTAATGCTCACTCTAATGCACTCATCCCTCGCTGTCCCTTCCCTTCCCTTTCCCTTCCCCACCACTTCGGCCCACCCCACCCCACCTCCCCCCAGTTCGTGGCAGAGGCACTCAAGGACCCCACACAGGAGTTCCAGCTGCTGCACCCCATCCCCATGGCCAGCCGCTCCCAGGCAATCCCATCCATGGCAGCAGGCCCTGCATCACCCATGCCCTCATTGGAGAAAGAGGAGCTCGTTCCCGCATCACTCATCAAGTTCCGCCCTGTGTGCCTGGGCCCGCCCGGGTACACTGGGCTCAAGAGGGAGCTGCTGGAGCAGGCTCAGCCAATCACTGCTGTGCCTTTTCCTCCTTTGGATATGTCCGGGTAGGTAGGGACGGTGTATTTTGCGACGTCTTAATTGTTTGGTGGTCCTTGCATGAGATTTGTTCATGGGTACCGAGTTAGAGTACGGTATGTAGAACTGACATGAATACATGTCCTGTACTTTCCAGTACTGTGAGAATATCTGTGGTTATCATAAAAACGTTGTGCATGGTCCAAGAGGTGCAGGCAACTTGCTCCATGTATGGTGTGGGATAAAAAGGATCTTCAACCATGGATAGAAGCATATACCAGTATTAGGATACCACAGCTAGTACCGGTAGTACCTTATGATCCCTCTAGCACTCCGTTTGGAAACAATCACAGAGTCAATTCAAAATGCACTTATAGTATCATTATTAACCCCAGCAACCCCCATAAATCCCCACAAAGTCAGATCCAAGAGAACACACATCTTGCAAAACCAAACAATTTTGTACGGTGGGTGCTAAACAAGGCAATCCAATCCATCCCAACCAACCCAATCCCTTGGTTGCGAGGTGCTGCAGGCATCTCATGGGTTGGATTGTGCTGGGATGTATGCCTTTACCCTGTCTTGCTCAATAGTATCTTATCCAATTATGCCAGTAGCGGCGCCGAAAGCATTGTCAGCAATGGCTGCAAACAAGCACCACAGGAGGAACAGGAAGGATGCAGGAAGAAAAGAGCGAAAAGGTGAGCAAGCACACTTGACCGAGAAGGCAGATGACCAATTGCTCGTGAAAGTTAAGGTGCAGGAAGGATGCAGAGCAGAAGATCCTTTCAGTTAAAAAGCGCAGAGAGCAAAATGGGGGACACAAACAAGCGCGTAGAGGTGGAATGACACAGAACAGCCCAATCAACCAACCCCCACTTGTGCCAGCAAGCAATCAATCCACACACAGACACGCCACGCCACGCCACGCCATGCCACGCCACACCACACCACACCACTCACCGCGCAGCGTGCAGCTGAAGCCAGTGAAGGCGGCCGTCCCCGCGCAGCGCGACCTGGCGCAGAACGCGAATGCGCGGTCGCTGGCATGGCGCTTGAGCGGCATGTAGCGCTTGGGGCACGCGCACACCTTGACGCCCGCCGCGTTCTCCCTGCACACCGCGCGCACGGGGCACGACGCGGCGTCCAGACAGTTGTGCGGGTCTGCGGGGGAGATGTGGGAACGCACGGGGATGGGGAAAGGAAGAGCGGGCAGTGGGGGGTAGAGCGGGCGACGGGGGAAAGAGTGGGCAATGGGGGGAAGAACGGGGAGAAATGAGTTGCTGAGGGGGTGCGGGGAAGGGGGAGCGGAAGAGATCGGAGGAGAATAATGACGGAGTTGAAAGAAGAGAACCGAACTACAAAACCTCGAATGACAACCAGAAAATCGCAGCAGACTCGGGCGGGCACGATCGAGCGGCTGAGCGAGCGAGGGAGCAAGGGTGAGTCTCTCCTTCCTATGATCCAATTGGAGTGTAAGCTCACATCGGCACGTGATGTTCTTGCTCCCCAGCAGGCACGAGCAGCCCTTGGCAGCGCGGTTATCGCGGCAGTCGAGCGTCACGGGGCAGTTGTGGAACGCGCCCAGCGAGCACGTCCTGTGCACTGCGCGCAGTGGGGTGGGGAAAAGGGGGAAGCGCGGTGGGAGGGAGGGAGCCGGAGGGTGGAGGGAGCGGGAGGGAGCGGGAGGGTGGAGGGAGCGGGAGAGGAAAAGCGAGCGCGTGTGAACGTTGGGGAACGCGGGAGGTGGATTCGGGATATACGCAGAAGGGGGAACGAGGGGATAGAAAGATTCGGAGGATGATGCGGAGAAATTCAGGAGCCCGGAACCAGTAGCACGCGCACACGGGCCACGAAGGCCGCGGAAGCGGAAGCAGACACCATCACACCCCTCGAGTCGCCCCGCGAACCCCCCTTCTGCCGAGCCCTGATGCTAACCTGGCGGAGCCTTCCGCGCGGACGGAGCGGTGGAGGCGGGCGGGTGCGTGACGGTGCCCGTGACGGCGTTGAACCGCGAGTCCGCCTCGAGCGATATCACCGATATCGACGCTACCGTCACCACCGTGCCCGGCGGAGGCGGCGGCCGCGGCGGCGGAGGGTTCGGCGGAGGGCTGGGAGGCTTGGGGGGAGGGCTGGGCGGCTTGGGGGGAGGGCTGGGCGGCTTGGGGGGAGGGCTGGGAGGGAGCGGGGGCTTGGGGGGAGGGCTGGGTGGTTTGGGGGGAGGAGGCGGTCGGGGGGGCGGACTGGGGGGCTTCGGCGGCGGGCTCGGCGGCTTGGGGGGGCTGGGGGGTTTCGGGGGAGGGCTTGGCGGCTTCGGGGGAGGGCTGGGCGGTTTTGGCGGAGGAGGCGGGCGGGGAGGCGGGCTCGGCGGCTTTGGCGGCGGGCTCGGCGGTTTCGGCGGCGGGCTCGGCGGCGGAGGCGGCGGTGACGGTGGCGGCGGTGCTTTGACATGGCGCTGCGCGCAGACAGTCGTGGCGAAGTAGCTCCAGCCGTCAACCGTCGCAGAGAGCGTCGCGAAGCTCGCAGCTCCCGTGTCGAGCTGGCCCGTGCCGACGAGTCGCACGCCATAAAGGCCCTCCGGAAGCGCGATGTACGCGGTTGGAGGACTGGGATACACCGCGACCTGCCCGCCGGTGGGGGCGGAAGTAGTGTATTCAAACGCGCCGCTTGTATCGAATCCCGGATCCACGCCGGTGCCCTCTGAAAAGGGTACAAAGTCCATCGCTCCCAGGTACGCGTCGCCAGAAAGTCCCGGGAAATCCGCGGCGCTCGTTACAAGAAACTCCTCGCGCATCGCGTCGACGGCGAGCGACCCGGGCATGCCAGGAGTCAGCGTAGTGGTCGTGAGCGGCGTCGCGGAGCTCGTAAGCGGCGTCGCGTACGTGTACAGAATATTCGCGTCTTGTCGCAGGACTGCGACGAAAGTGCCCTGAGGAGAGCACACGGCCTCCGTCGCAGGGTAGGGAATGGCGTTTATGGCGGAGCTTGCGGGCTGGAACGCACCCGTCGCCGCATCGAACGGCACCTCGATGATCGCATTCGCGTCGTCCGACAGGCGGTGGCACGCGAAGATCGCGGAAGCCGCGCAGAACGCGGAGGAGAGGCATTGCCACCCCGCGGGGACGATTTGAACCGTCGAGAGGGTCGTCCGATCGATGCTGATCGCGCCGTTAGCCTCGGCGGTCCCGTCTGCGACGACAAGCATGCGCTGCGACGGGCCGCCGATGGAGATGGACGTCGCATTCAGCGGCGTCGGATACGGCGTGCCTGCGACGGGTGCGGTGGACGTGTATTGAAGTACGTTGAGGTATTTCCCGCCTGAGGCGATGTACGCGCTGCCGTCAACCGCGACGGCGCAACCAGAAAGCGCCGCGTCGTTGTTCGCGTCGGGGTTGGCGGAGTCGCCGACTTGACGCGTCGTGAGCGCGTTGACCTGCCATGCCTGATTGAAGACTTTGTCCGTTAGCGGGTCGTACACCCCACCAGCTACGATAACGACGGGTACGCCAAGAGTCGAGTACGGCTTTTGCGCTGCCGCGAGATGCGGGCAAGAAGCGACTAGTAGAAGCGCGAAGAGCGGAAGGAGCGCGAAAAGAGCCTCTCTTCGCGAAGCGGCGAGGAGCTGCCCGTGGTGGCGAAACATGGTGGAAACTGTATTCACGGGGAGATTAGGGACCCAGAGGGCCCCTGGGCGACTTGATAGTTGGTGGAGGCGGCAAGAGGGAGAGGCTAAGAGCTTGATATGTTCTTGCCTCGTCCCATGGCGAAAGACGTGGTGGTGGCAACTACTGAAGCCCAGTGTAGAAGGCCTGACTGGGTTTTTACATGATTGATGATGGTCCGAGGAGAGGAAGCGAGCTCTGATTGTCTCTCCATCGTGTGCCTCAACTCCAGCGCAGAGCAACTCATCTCCACCCATTCTAACCTATCCTAAAACCGATTAACATTTTTAAGACCAGTTGTCATGCGGCGCGAGAATTGTATCAGAAGGCGAGGATAGGGGGATGGGATCTTGATTCATGATTCAGCCCACTTGATCTGGTACTGTATCGGGCAGCAAGAAGCTGGAATTGAAACTGCATGGGCAGGTGAAAACCGAAACATCTTCTCAGCTCAGCAGCAGGCGAGATCCTTGCTGTTGCGCGCTGGGCTGGGCTTGTGGTGGTGGTGTGAGATGTGAGATGGAGTCATGGGGGATGGGGATATGAGAGTGGCAGTGTTGCTCCGAGGTTTGGGTGGGTGGAACATATTGATAATCGTTCTTGGTCCCTCGCACAGCCTGGCGCCACCCCGAAAATAGATGGATTTTCATGTTTCGACAGCCAATCACCGCGTGGAAACAAAGCGGGCAGCTTGTTCCAAGCGTCAAACCAGGCATGTGATGCGAGAGCGAGAGCTGCGGGTTGGATTGGAAGGAAGGAGGGATGGAACTGCTGGCAGACGAGATGCAGAAAATCTCCCCTCCTACGGTACTTGCGACTCGATGTGAGGAACTGTACAGCCTTGCCCAAGCCCAAGGGAAGCCAGCTTTGGGGAAGTGTACGTACAGACAAACAGATCCTATCGCAAGGCTACAAGGCGGACAACATGCAAGAAGTTCTGCAACCTGAAACAGAATCAAGGCACCTGAGGTGACTTTTTGGAAACCGTCTGTCTGTCGTATGCGCCCTGAAAGCTTGAAACGGAATTCATTGTCCACCCTCTTTCTCGCCATTGTGAAATCGGTTATAGTGAAGTCAAGATGGGAAAATCACGGTTAACGGTGGTTAGATTAATTCTCAGTATGGTTCACTCAAACAAATCGAAGATAACAAGGTTTTCCACCAGTTGGGCACAGTTCAGTGTAGTGAGAAACAGGGCTCACGATGCGGCAACCGGTCAACCAAAGGATCAGCTGTCAACAAAAATGCACGTTATTGTATTGACGGGATGAAGTAACGTGCATTTTTCCAGCAAGGGCCCCTCCAAACAGCCAGTCAAGCACCACACTCGGCGCTTCCTCATTACCCGCGTCGTGTTTGAAAGCAGTGGGTTTATAGAAACGATGAAAGATAGGTACAGTAACATGCTTCGCAGGGGAAAGTGAAAATTGACTAGGAAAGTGAAAGTGAAAATGGAGTCTACAGAATCTCATACACGAACTGCACAACATACGGTAGTGTAAATAAGCATGCATCTTCCTTCTGCGGATCTAGGATTAGCTAATCACTGAAACAGCATCTAGTAGAAAGGTGCATACAAGCCCTGGAGCAAAGAGCAGGGTCATTAGTAGTAATTGCACGAACCCCTATGTGGTACTGAGACGCCATCAAACCCTCCTCATCAATCACCCATGAAAGCACAGACCGGTCGTGCAATGGAGAATTTGAAGCACTCATGTCATCTCGTTCAGAATGTGACTTGGATGTCGTTTTGTATGGTTCGCGCAGAGAGGGAATGTGGGTAAAATGTGGTGCCAGCCACATCCGGGGGTCAATGTGATTGACCAATGCGATGGAGGTGTCATTAGGGCCGTATATATATGCCAGGCCTGGAGAAGATGCACCGGTGCAACAAGGTTGGAGAAATATGCCAAGGCAAATCAACGACAGGGGACAGGAGAGCGTGAGAAGAGGTGTTGGGAGGGGAATGGGGACATGCCAACAGGAAAATAAAACCTTCTCATCATTGCATGATCATGGAAAGTTACCATATTCTCCGAGCAAGTAGTCCTCTCACCTGCAATTCCTTGTCGAAGAGGCCCAGGTGCACGGGATGACGGCCGATCTAGAAAGAGGAAGAGGGAGTCGATGAGCCGGAAGTGAAACGAGGTTAGCAGCACACGCAGACGCGGATGAGGCGCTTCCGGGGAAGAAAGAGAGGCGTTAGAGGGCCGGACAGCATCCAGCCATGTGACCAAGGTCTCTGCATACCGATCAGCCCATTCCTCCTCACTCACACAATCCGCCCCTGCACCGTTTCGAGCCTGCTCTTTCTGCCTGTTCTCCCCGCACAGGTCAATTTTAAGGTCCAGAGCTAGAGTAACATCAGCATGCCAAAAATGCTGCACCACGTGGGTGAGGGAGGGTAAAGGGGTGTGTGTGAACTTGTGTTCGAACCACCCTCCAGCGTCTGCCTGCTGCACCACCTCCCATGGCAAATCCTCCACTCGCGGTGCTTCCTCCTTGCTCTCTCCCCCCTCCCCTTCCTCCCGCCCTCCCTGCAGGCGCCCCTGCTGCCCCTCCTGCTGTGTGGGCTGCACGCTTGGGAACGGCGGCAAGGTGGACGCGAGCTTGGTGCGGAACGTTGTGCCGTGCACCACAGCGAGCTGCCCGTCCCGCGTCATGTGCACGTCCATCTCCACGCAATTGGCGCCGCGCTGCACGCACGGAGAAGTGGTGCGCGTCGGGCGTCAGGGTCGAGGTGAACGGGAGGGGGGGAGTAGAGGTCGGAAAATGGGAGGGGAGATGAATGGAGAGTGCGAAAACGAGGGAGCTTAAACCGCACGTCAGACAGGAGGGGAGACTTGGGATGGGGATGAGTGAGCCTGGAAGTGATTGTCTGGATTCGTTACTCGTATTATCGTATATTAAATAAACGTCTATCACTAGCGCAGTTCCACTGGCGCCAGCCTGCCGTCGTAGCTGCTTACCTCGAGCGCGAGCTCGAATGACGGTATGGTGTTCTCGGGCGCCTCGCGTCTCGCGCCTCGATGGCCGCAGCACGCGATGGCAGAACGCGGAGACGGATCCGAGTCAGCGTGTGTGGAGCCAGCTCGGGACCAGATTTCGCGGCTTCGATCCGACTCTTCCTCGCCGACCTGATTTGGCAATGGTGTTTCCGGGGACACCCGTTCCGCCGCAGGGCATAAGACGCGCCATCCGCCCAAGCTGGCTCCCGTCCTTTCGGTCCGCGAGTGCGCCCATTTGCCTTCGTCTGCTAAGCCGCTGGAATGATCAGGAGTGAGGGATTTAGTATCTTCAATCGGGGATGGTAGTGTTGAAACGACGGATAGGGAAGGCCAGGCAAGAGTAAGAACGAACGCCGTTACGAGTATAGCGGCCAGGCCGCCATAAACCACGAGCGGAGCAGCAGCAGCAGCAGCAGCATGAAAGCTGCCCCTCATTTTCCACAAGTCAATCACATGATCAACTGAAAATGACGCGAGGTGGACTTCATTGCAAAAGAAGCTCCCAGTTTGGTTAGATAAAGGAATCCAGCAACAAGGACTGTAAAGCCCAAACGAGAGATGACATAACTGCGTACAGCAGGGAGCACACACCTTGGAGGTCTGCCAAACCTAGCCAATCATGAACCCAAATCAAACGAGCTCTGACAGGTTCTCGCGGGAACTGACAAGGTCAGTTGGCTCGGTAGAACCAGACGCACAGCCAAACCAGGTCTTCCACGAAGCAAATCCTGCCGAACCAAACAATGGTGATGGGTGTTCAAACTGCTGTTGCCCCCATTGGTTGGAACGAATCCTTTTTCTGCCTACGTTATCCAGTGAACCGTTCTGAAATACTTACAAACCGTTCGTTTATAATACCTAGCTCTTCTCACCGTAATAGAAACCTCGCCACTCCTTCGCCATGTCACAGCCATCCTCCCAGACCTCGACCCGCCTTTCGCAGCCTCCACCCAGGCTAGTCGTGACCTGGTTTGGCTTCGGTCTTTGGCTCGGTCCTTTTTCACTTCAGAACCTTTGTTCGTTTGCTACCGCTCTGCTCGGCTCTGCTCTGCAGCACTGCTCTTATTGGTGTGTGTGCTTCGTCCATATCACATAACTCACATTGGGTGATTCTTGACCTACTCACCCGGTCACTCGTTCCAGGCATCACTTGCCTTCCGTGGCCTGTCTGTCTACACGATCAGTATCGCCTCTTGGCAGATCGGAAGGCTTCGGCGCTCTCGCGGCACGTGCATTGCCCGGTTTCGGTATCTGGACTCCGTTAATCTATGACAGCATATATCACGTTCACTTAAATACGGCCTTGGTCCGAATCTGAAACAGCAGCTCGCTGGTTCTAAGCTTACGATCCCACCGACTTTGTCCTAACGGACTCAGTGACCCTTGTGAGCATTACCTATGCGACCTCGGCCCGGTCAGGAACATCCGCCGTCATTCTCTCTCCTTAACGTGTCCTCCCCCAAGTTCGGCCTGGGAAGGATGTCTCCATCGGAGCGGCTCAAGGGGTTTTTCAAATCCGATGCCGCGAAGCTGACGATGTGCGTCGTCGGCGTCGTAGGCACCCTCATGGTGTACGGAGTCATGCAGGTATGCACTCTAATGCTCTCCTTATTGTCATGCCAGGAATGTGGTTACAATGTGAGCAATCTTTCCTGCTCCTTTCCGCAGGTTCAGATACGTCGACCGTCGTGTATTGAATTCTGATAAGAGCTTTCGATGATTAACACATCATATCACCAGTACAACATAGTGGACTATTTCAAACACTTGTTTCACCGGCTTAGCTGACGTCAGTGACGCACACTGGACGCGACATTGATAGATCTCACATTCCAAGTCCTCAAAGCGTGAATCCTAACCGTCATCTACTCATTCGGATCTTCCCGCATCTTCTCCTCGTATCTCGCCTTTCCGCCTCGTCTTTCCTGTAACTCCGTGCCCGAGCAGGAGCGGATCATGCGGCAGCCGTACGGTGCGGAGCAAGAGAAGTTCCAGGAGTCACTGTTCATCGTTCTCTGCAACCGAATTCTTACCTGCAGCCTCGCCGTCATCGTGCTTCTGGTACGGAATCCCACTTCCCCATCCTATTTGCCCCCGCATTTTTTTCGGTTTCCCGCTTCCACAATTGTCGTCTTTCCTCCTCTGTTCGCTGACGCCCGTCTCTTTCCCGTCGTTTTCTCGAATCATGTGCATGGATTTCTTTCAGTGCTCTCTAGCCGTTTCTAATACCCCCTCCAAGCCCTATCCCGCCAAACGGCTCGCGTTTCTGTAGATTCAAGGCAAGTCCATGGCTCCCGTCGCACCTCTGTACTCGTATGCGGCGGTCTCCGTGTCCAACGTCGTCGCCACGGGATGCCAATACGAGGTGAGGCGACTGGCGTTAAATGTGCTGTTAACCTTCACGAAATCTTCTGAAGTCTATGTTTCATGTAGAATTGTAGAATTCTCACGTGGAGCTTCCAACCTGAATTCTGACCTTCGGGTGCTTCGTGCTTCTCGTGTGATTGCAGGCTCTCAAGTTCGTGAGCTTTCCCATCCAGACTCTCGCCAAGTCTGCGAAGATGATCCCCGTTATGGTAAGTACTACACTTCTCACTAGTACAACCTAGTCGTGACTGGATGTTGTTGCAGACTCTTGCACCTGGGGATGGCCTCTTGCCAAGGTTTTCTGGTTCATCAGGGGTGTCCCCAATATTCAGCTTATCTGCACAGCATGTCGACGTCTTGCAACGAGTTGTGGTCTTAGTTGTGTAAATGACTTGACATTTCCACCCCCCCCCCCCCCCCCCGGGTTTAATTGGTGTATGGCAGATATGGGGCACGGCTATCATGGGCAAGAAGTACAACCTCAAGGACTACGTCATTGCGCTGCTCGTCACGGGAGGCTGTGCCATCTTCGTGCTCTATGGGGTATGTCCGCTTCGCTCACAATCACCGCCACTGCATGTCATGACCCTCTGTTCCCATCCTCGACACTCATCTGCCACGTCTGGTTGTGACCCCTCCCGCATTTGCCCTCGCCTGCTCAGGACAATAAGAAGCACAGGCAGGTGGATTCCACCTTCTGGGGCGTTCTTCTGATGGTCGGATACTTGGCGTAAGTGGACATAAAATTAATTTAAATGCACAATTCGCAAACAGGACATGGTCTGATTTGTACAGTAAACGCCTTGCACTTCCCGACCTCGTTCGTCCATGCTGAAAACCTTCCCCACCTTGTCCCTTTTTCGCCGGCCAGATTTGATGGGTTCACATCGACATTCCAGGACAAGCTGTTCAAGGGGTACAAGATGGACACGTGGAACCAGATCCTCTACATCTCCATGTGGTCCGCGCTGCTCTCGCTGCTCGGTGCGTACCTCTGCTCTCTCTTTCCTCGCCCTGTGCCCCTGCTCTGTGTGCTTGGCCCACCCGCCCCTCTCTCCTTCTCCCCTCCCCACTCCGTCAGCCCCTTGGTAGCTTTTTATTTGCGTATGCTCTTTGCTGGCTTCTGTCTGCCTGGATGAGGCTGCAGCAGCGCTGAAGTGTGTAGTAAAGGTTCTGTGTTTCCAATTTCGTATGTGCTGCAGTGTTGTCCCACACTTTTCACCGCTGCCCGTCCCTCGCGTGCCATGGCATGCCATGCCATTCATTCCACGCCACGCCACCATATCTGACCAATCCTGTGCTGTGTGTCTGCAGGGCTGCGCTACCGCATTGTGTATGCCATTCGCTTCATCACCAAGCACCCAGACTGCTTCTTCCACATCTTCATGCTCTCAGCTGTAGGTTCCTCTTCGCCCCTTCAAATGTACAGTCTTTAAAACACGACACACATCATTTGCGAATCTCGAACCAGAATACGCATGCAGAATCGACCAGCGTAGGCCAAGTTCAGCCACCTCTTGGAAAAATCAAACTCCCCCTCCTGTATCTCCCCCCGCGTGCCTTTCTTGCCGCATACAACCTTCGCAATGTGTTTTTTTTTGTCAACTCTGGAGATTGACTGTTTTCTGTTCTTTAACTAACCTGTTGCATGGGATGTTGTGGTCATGTTTGCATTGGTGCCTGGGTGCATGGGTGCACTGGTGCACTGCTGCGTGGGTCCATGGATGCGGGCACACATTGCATGGGGTGCATGATTGCATTGATACTTGGTGGGGGTACACCTGTGCAGTCTGCCACCACGAGCCAGTTCTTCATCTCCTATACCATCAAGACCTTTGGCGCCCTTGCCTTTGCCACCATCATGACCACTCGCCAGGTCAGCACCTTGCACCCCTCCCTCCATCTCATCAGTGGAGACCAGCAAAGCAGCCTACCACACGTTTCCCTGCGCATTCTTAATCCATTTGTTGTTTCTGCTGCTCTGTCGCATCCAGTTGGCTCTCCCCAGCTTTGACCTGTCTGCACTGCAGTGGCATCAGCTGATTCTTTGTCCCCCATGTCCTTCCCCTTGGGAACCCTGTTCCCCGTCTATTGTGCAGCTGTTGAGCATTCTCCTCTCGTCTATCCTCTATGGACCTCCGCTCACCTTCGGCCAGTATGGTGGCACGGTAAGCTGCATGCATGGGTGTGGCCTTTGTAATTCGTCTTCTTCATCGTTTTTTCATGGCCTTCTTGCAGACTCATGTCCTCACTTAAAGCAAGGGTGCACTTTGGGGGGGTGGAGGCAAAGGTTTATCACTTGCCTCCACGTGGTTACCCGGTTTGGGGTTTGAAGTGAGACGCGAACAAGCGGTCAGTGTTGGCGGAGTAGCGCGGGTGTACACTCCCCCGTCAGTAGCTAAAGGGGTGATGGGAGTTGGGAACTTGAGTTGGGGCCGCCAGGCACTTTTTGTACCCTGCACAATTCGCCCTCAAATCAGCAAGGGCCAAAGGGTGTGCACTGACAATACACCCAAAATCCATCCCCAGGAAAGTGCACCCTTGCTCTAAGGAGGTGACCCTCTGCTTGTGCTGCACACTCAGTCTGGCTTGCTCTGCCCCACCACACGACAACAGCTGACCACTTATGAGTTGTGAATTTTCCCGTGTCTACATGAAACGCAGACAATGGTGTTCTCGTCGCTGTATTACAAGTCCTACGCGAACAGCAAGGAGAAGAAGGCTGAGGCCAAGAGCAAGGAGAGCAACAGCTTGGAGGGTGATAATGGAGGCAAGGAGATGGAGCCTTTGATGTCGAGTGGCAAGGATGGGAGAGACCAACTGGGCATGGACAGTGAGGGGAAGGAGGGCAAGGTGTGAAGCAGCAAAAAGCACCACTTCAAGCCCCCTCGGCTTCCCTCTGAGTTCACTGGTGCCATGCCTTGACATTCGTTCTTTCTATCTCGGAGTGCTACTGTTGGCAAGTTGCTAGAAGCAGCTAGGAGCAGTTGCTGTTTGGTGATCTGCTTCTGGTGTGTGGTTTCACACATTGGATTTCATGGAAGCCCTCAATACCACCTAGACCAGACAATAATTCTTTAGCCGATTATGATAACCTGTATTAGCTTATTAAGATTTCTCTGTCAGGCACTAGGATTCTGTACATCACTAGTTATGCCCCAAGCAAACAAGCACATTAAATTGCATTTTTTAGAATCACAAACAATGAGACCCGTGCTGCACCTACGCTACCTCTTGACGAGACTAAAGATACAGCGGATTTTTTTAGTAGTTGCACAGAATGATGGGTCTGGGTCCTGGGAAGGACCCTCTGTGCCCTGCCTGTCGGTTGTCGGTGGTTTCCGTACGGTCCGAGCCTGCGCTTCCCTGGCACACTCCCCAACCAAGTCAGCCTGAATCCGAACCAGCCCAAATTCTCGGCTTGGATGTGCTCCACAGCGAGCTCTGGCTCGCTCGCTGGGCCTTGTTGGGAGAAAGTATGCGGCTGGGCAACCATTGGCCGCTCCCGGCACAAAGAGGTTCGGTGCGCTTCGGCTAGAAGCCGTCAAACTGACCGTTCAGAGACGATGACGGGCACAAGGGAGATGCAGAGGTTGCGCGAGCAACAACACCAGCCGTCATGTCACGTTTTGTCCACGAATCACGTCCCACCGCGCGGCGCGTTGTTTCGCTTGGACGTGTCATGCGACGCACCGTCATAGTCGTCCCAGTCAGCGCTCAGGAAGTTACCATTCATCGCGAGTCTGCGAAGTGCGCGACTTCAGCACTGCGTGCTTAATGTTTTTGCTGGCTTTCCCTCCCCCCTCCTCCAGGTGCGGCAAGTCTGGCGGCAATCTCGATGGGCTCCAAATATGTAAAACAGAGAAGACTTGGCAGGTGAATGGGAAATGCATCTGTAGCAACACAGCACACCCACAGCACACGGCACAATCCAGAGCCAACGGATTCCACTTGTTAGAACTGCTTTTCCAACGATCTTTCACAGCAGGAGGAAGCAACACTCAGGGGAGGCAAACTAGCGGAGAATCTTGGGCGCGTGAAACAACACAGGCTAGTAATTGGTAAATAGTCCATTAATTGTTCAGAAACGCCGTGCACTCTTCGTGTTACGCCTCGTATGGGGCTAGATTATTCCCCCAAGCTAGTCGCATTAGTGGCTCTCTGCATAACTTCAACCATTCTAGGCTCCACGGAAGCAGCAACGGGTGCGTCGCAACTGCGGTTAAACCAGATTCAGCTGGTGGGGGTTCACAACTCGTACCATGTCCAGCCTATGAAGAAACTTCTTGACCTCGCTTTAAGACTATCAGACTCCTTCCAGGGCTGGCAATACACGCACAAGCCTATCCCCAAGCTCCTGGAAAAAGGCGTCCGGAGCTTCGAATTCGACGTGAGTATAGAGCTTTAGCTTTACGCCCCCGTTCCGCGTCCTCGTTTCTCCTGCAATCTTTCGCGTTGAACTGAAAGCGATGCGAGCCTCGTCAACCGCACTACCATGTCGTCATGGGACGCGCCTTCGTCCCGCTCGCGTCCCTAGTCTCGCTCTCTGACTCGGCCATGTCGGCCTCATTCTCCGCTATATTCCTGACGCTCTTTACACAGTGTCGTTTCACATACGCTGCTATGTCTAGCACCATGCTCTAGACTCCCATTGACACCATGATATCGCATATCCACCTATCCGTGATAAAGATTCGTCTACAGAGCTGTCGGTTCCCAATCCCATGCGATTCACACCCCCTCTCTCCTCGCGGCCTCGTCTATCGATCCACTTCCATGCCAAAAACGCTCCCCCTACCGATTCGCTCGCTCGCCGGTCACCTGGAAAAACGCGTCGCACTTTCGCGACTCGTCCTTCCTTTCTCTACGTGACACTGCGGGTCTGGAACCACCATCTGTCCCATCACTGCCCGACGTGACTGTCTCTCATCCCGCTTCCTCCTATTCCCTTGTCGCCATCGTCCTCCTACACTCCCTTCCCCTCCACAGCTACAGCTGGAGCTGCAGCAAGCGTAGCTGTCTGATCCTGCTCTCTCCTCTCCCTAATGTTTACCTCCCCCTATTTCTTCCCCCTCCGCACGTGTCATCTCCTTGTCGCAGGTGTTTCCGGATCCTGAAGGTGGCCGCTACTACAATCGCGATGGCATGCGACTCGTTGACCAGCCCACGGCGTCGAAAATCCCCGCTTTAAAAAAACCCGGTTACAAGGTAATGCACGTGCAGGACGTGGATTACCAAGCCACGTGTCTCACGTTCGTTGACTGCCTGAAGCAACTGAACTCTTGGTCGGTGAAAAACCCGGGCCATCTGCCAATCACGGTGAAGGTCGAGGTGAAATACTCGTCGCTCGTTGACGAGATTGGATCAATCGCATCCATGATTCTCCCCAACGCGGCGATTCCACCGGAAATCACCCCAGCCTTGCTGACGGATCTGGAGAAAGAGGTGCTGTCGGTGATCCCCAGGTGGAAGATTCTGAAACCGGATAATGTGAGGGGGAATTACCCTACGCTGGCGGGAGCTGTGAAGACCAAGGGATGGCCGTCTGTGGCTGTTGCATCAGGGAAGTTCATGTTTGTTCTGGTGGGTAACGCCATAGATACGTACAAGCAGAAGGCAACATCGCTGCAGGGGAAGCTGTTCTTCACTGGGCCTACATCAGGAGGAACGCCAGACGCTGCTGTGGTGAGCATGGAGGTGGACTATAGCTCTGCTAAGGAGGACGTGCAGCGGTTGCTTAAAGAGAACGTGATTGTATGGACGAGGGCAGATGCGGATACAGTTCAGGCAAGAGCGAATGATGGGACGAGGAGGCAGGTGGCGCTGACGTCGGGGGCACAGATTGTACACACGGATTACCCTGCTGCTGAGAGGCCTAACCCGTTTGGCACGCCTTACTATGTAGGGTTGCCCATGGGAAGGAAGGCCATGTGCAATCCTGTGACAGCGCCTAAGTGGTGCCGCCATTACTTCCTCAATGAGCCTATTAAGGCTTAGTTGCGTGCCTGCCTTGTCCTTGTAGTCAGTTGACTTTTTTGCGCGATGTGAAGTTGGAATACGTATCCTAGATCGACGTGACACTGAAGTATGCCTTTTTTGCTCAGAAGCTGTAGCCAATGTGCCCGATACCCTTCCTGATATAATGCACTAGAGTACAAATGCTATAGCCATCCTAAATTATATTCTACTATGAAAAAAGTGTACATGCTCAAGGAGACTACCGTACCGAAGCGAGAACAATATACGGTATGTCCAACAGAGCTGCTGAAAATTTCTTCCACTTTGCACACAAGCGGTAGCTTCGCTATATTCAACCCGTCTAAATAGGCAAGTCTCCACTGACTAATCATTTCCTAAGATGTGGAGTAATGCACTCGTCAGCTTCAGTAGGATGTAGAGTAATAATCCTGTCAGGTTCATCTATCGCGCTCAAGCTTCGCCGCTGTCCGTCGCTCGCGGCATTTTACACGAATTTCATCCATCCGTCCGTAAGCCGTCCGTACGGCTTCATCCATCCGTGAGCTTTCCCGGGCGAGCAGCAAGGCGTTACCCTCCAGGTTTTGCCCAGGACCCGTCACACAAGGAGAAGAGAAATAATATTTCCATCGCTCGTTGCCTACCCGACCGTCGAACCCGCAGCGGCAGCACTTCGGTAACCTCGTCACCGCCTCTCGTCCGGGCCTAACTGGTGGTCACGTTCGGATTTACCTCGTTGTTACTCGCAGATTCGCGATTGCATTCAGTCAAACTCAGAGTAACAGCTATTATTCTGGACTCTCGCCGCGACAGTCGGCATGGATGGTGCCGATAACACCACCTCGGCCAAAGAAAGCACCGAGAAACTCGCAGGCACGGATAGTGGCGATGCCTCCAGCAGCAGCGGCAGTAGCGGCGCCGGCGGGGACGGCGTCGGAGTCGGCGGAAAGAAAGTACCGTCCTGGCTGAACAGCAAGGCCTGGTCGCGCCCCGCCGCCAAGATCTCCGCGGATGGCGCTCGCCTGTCTCCGCGGACCCCGGGCAAGGGGGGCGGGGTGGGTTCCGCGTTACCAGGAAATGGCGGAGAGGAAGGGGGAGATGGGCGGAGCGGGGTGGGGGATAGTGGGGGAATGGAGAATGTCGGGGCGGCGATGGCGCGGGCGCGGATAAGCAGTGAGGCGGAGGGGATAGGCGGAGGCGGGGGGTTGGAGGGGAAGGAGAAAGGAGGAGTTGGTAGTGGTGGTGATGGTGATGGTACGAGTGGTGCGGGGGAGCGAGCAGGGAAATTGGGATGGCATGAGATGGAGGAGGGGAGCGGGAGGGGAAGCGGAGCAGGAGGGGGGAGAGAGGGAGATGGCGCAGGTGGCGCAGGTGGCGGTGGGGAGGGCAGCAGTGGTTTGAATCGTACGGACAGCGACAGCAGCAGGAGCAGAAGCAGCGTGGCGGCGAGCACTCATGGCACCAGCAGCACAGCCAGCGCAGCCGCACCTTCTGTGAAGTCCCCTCCACGTGAGCTCGCGTGTGCTTCTCCAGGTCACTACATGCAATGCGAGTTCCTTGCTTCATGTTTTTGTCCACCTGCCCGCCTTCCAACCTGTGCTCTCTAGTCTAGTCTCACCTCCCCACGGAGTTTTTTATTCCTTTTCTATCTCCCTCCGTTAATTCTCTTCATCCATTCCGTTTCTCCTTGCACTCTTCATTCCGTCCTTCCGTCCTTCCCTCCATCCTTCCCTTTTCTTCCTACCTCCCTCCCTGCCTGCCTCCCTCCCTGCCTGCCTCCCTCCCTGCTACCCACCCTCCCCCCCTCCCGCCACAGGCCCTGGGAGGGCACGTGCAGTCACATCCCCCTCCTCCCCCCCTTCCACCACCACCCCCACTCCCCCCATCGGCCCGCTGTCCCCACGCCCAACCGCCGCCGCATCATCATCAGGAGCATCCCCCCCGCTATCAGCACCGCGCACGTCCCCCTCGCTGCTGCCCCTCACCAGCAGCATCACAGCAGGCCTAGGCTTTGGAAGCGACCTCAGCAGCAGCAGCAGTGTCAGCGGCGGGGGGGGCGCGGGTGGGGGAGGGGACCGGCGGCCGAGTCTGCTGGAGCAGCTGAGAGCAGCGGCTTTTGCAGAGCCCATAGTGGTGGCGCCAGTGCTGCATGCGCGGGCAGGGGGAGGAGGGGGAGGGGGAGTGGGTTCGTTCACGCTCGCCACTGCGTCTGCAGAGGACCAGGCGTATGAACGCCGCCTGGCACAGTTCTACATGGAGGTGCGGGGTGGGGAGGGGTGGGGTGGGGTGGGGTGGGGTGGGGTGGGGTGGGGTTGGGTGGGATGGGATGGAAAGGGGTCGGGTCGGGTGGGGTGGAGTTGGTGGAGTGCAGTTGGGTCGGGTGGGGTGGTATGAGGCTTTTCTGCTTGATCTCTCATACCCGTCATGGATCCTGCTGCCCCCTTCCCCACTACACTCCCTGCCCCCTCCCCTCTCCCAATTCCCTGTCTCCCCCGCTCCCCTCCGTACCCCATCCCTGCCCCAGTTACCATCCCATAATCAGCAACCTGATGGTCGTTCCAGTATTCTTTTTCCTCAACCTCTCCTCCCAGTCTCCACCTGTTTACCCCACTCTCTGTGCTCCACGCACACCACACCACACCACGCCACATCGCACTGCACCGCACCACACCACTCTGCACCGTACCATGCAGATCTCCCAGCCGCGCGTCAACCTGGGAGAGCTGCGGCGCCTGGCCATGTACGGCATTCCCAATGAGGGCAGCCTGCGCCCCGTCGTGTGGAAGGTGGGATGGGGTTGGGTGCGGTGCGGTGCAGTGGGGTGGGGATGGAAGTTGGGTGGTGATATCTGCGCATGCATGCAGCAATGCGCCGATGTGGCCATATACACATGCACATTTGCATCCATACATCCATATCCCCCATGCATACCGAACTGGTGTATGCATGCAACTGAGCATCCGCGTCCATCTCTCCTTCTCGCCACCTGCTAGTTTGTCTTGAATTTACACATTAGAATCTTGAGGAACCTAGAATATCAATACACCAGTTTTTTTGTAGTTGCCTACACCAATGTTGCCATGCTCCAGCACGATATCCCCTCGCTCTCTGCACCAAGGCTGAATCACACCGATGTAAGCCTTTATCGCGCCACTTCTGGCCCTATCTCCCCCACCCCCCGTTCCCCCCTCGCCCCTCCCTCCTCTTCCCCTCCCCCCTTCCGCTTGCCAGCTGCTGCTGGGGCTGCTGCCGTTGGTGCGGGACGACTGGGAGGCAGAGCTGGAGAGGAAGCGCAGGCAGTACGACTGCTTCACTGCCGAGCTCATCATCAACCCGGTAGGACCCCTTGCGCCCACCTGCACTGCACCAACCTGCACCCACCTGCACCCCCTGTGCACCACTCTGTGTCTTGCGTTACCCATGGCATCTGGTGTAGCGGCCGCCTGCCCTGCCTGCTCCTCCTTTGCCAGTCGCACTTTGCCGTCTCCCCGCATGCTCGTCTCTTAAATACTCTTGCGGTCTCGTATTCTGCTTTGAAATCTCCCTCCTTTCCGCTCCCATCCCGTTGTGCTCCTCACTCCGAACTTCCTCCCTCTAGTGCCTCCATTCTCCCTCACCGTTGCACTCTTGCTCACTCATTTCCCCATCGCCACATCCGCCCTTTCTGTCCTTCCTCGTGTAGCGAGGTTGTTTTTGAGAGACGTCTCAAAAACAACCTCGCTACACGTGGCATTTCCCCATCGCCACATCCGCCCTTTCTGTCCTTCCTTCCTTCTTTCCTTCCTTCGTACCTCCAGTCCAAGCATACAGTCGACCTCACAGCTGCTCAGGGCACGCCAAGCAAGCAGCAGGCGCAGCAGCAGCAGGGGGAGCAAGGGGACGCAGGCGGAAAAATCACCCTAGACTCACCGTTGCACGGCAAAACAGGGCCCGCACTGTGGGACAAGCAGGACTTTGGCTTGCCGGCAGTGGAGGCAGCGGGGGGAGCAGGGCGGCCCGAGAGAGAGGCCCTTGGGGGGGGAGTGGCGGGGGGAGGGGTTGCAGGGGGGGAGTTGCGGGCGCATGGGGAAGGTGGGAGCGGTAGAGCGGGAGGGGAGGAGGTGTTGGAGTTGCATGGTAGTGACGTGTCATCGCATGACCATCCGCTGAATGACAAACCTACCTCCGTGTGGCGGCAGTACTTCCAGGTGTGGGACCATTTGCTGCTTACACAGACGGGCATGCTCGCATTATGCGAGTCGTACAGATGGGGAGCTGGCTTTTGTGTGGCAATGTTACTGTCAGGTGCTCGGACATATGGAAATCATATGAGACCTCACAAATCCTTCAGGTACTCATATATATGGACATGCTCGCTCCTTCTCATACTTCATTTCCTCCCATCCATCTCTGCATCCCTACCATCCCTCCCTTCCCTCCCATCCATCTTTTCACGCCGCCCCTCCCATCCCTCCCATCCATCTTCCCCATCAGGAGCGGTTTGACCGGGACGTGCGGCGCACACAACCCGAGATGCTCATCTGCATTCTTGCATTCCCTCCCTCCCCTCCCATGTTGTCCCTGCTTCCCCCGCACACACCCGGACACACCAACGCCCCATCAGGACTCGGAGATATTCGAGCAGATAGACCGGGACGTGCGGCGCACACACCCTGAGATGCTCTTTTTCACACGCAACGACGGCTCCGGCCTCACGCCCGCGCAGGTGCTGCTGCTGTGGTGTGGTGGGGGCAGGAGCAGGGCAGGGGTTGCAAGAGCATGGGGTGCAGGGGAAAGGCAGGGGGATGGGCAAGGGAAGGGCAAGGGGGGCCTCTCACAAGAACTTTCAGAAGTAACTTCAGCATAGTAAACCCCACATCCCTCCTGCCCACGCTCCGCCTCCCGCATGCCCTCTCCCGTCTCCCCTCTCTCCTGTCCCAACTCCCCACACCCCCTCACCCTCCCCACACAACCCTCCCATCTCCTCACCCCCCAACCCACACAGGAAGCCATGCGGCGGCTGCTGCTGATATTTGCGAAGCTGAACCCGGGCATTCGGTACGTGCAGGGCATGAACGAGGTCCTCGCGCCCATCGTGTACGTCTTTGCCAACGACCCCGACAAGGCGCACGCCGTGCACGCGGAGGCAGACGCATTCTTCTGCTTCGTGGACCTGCTCAGTGACTTCCGCGACTTCTTCTGCCAGCAGCTAGACAACAGCGTCGTGGGGATCCGGTCTGCCATCTCGCGGCTTGCGGAGATCCTCAGGCGGCATGACGAGGAGCTGTGGAGGAACCTCGAGTATGTGTCCAAGGTGTGTGCCGATCGCTCTGCCGACTGTTCTGCCTGTGCCTGTGCCTGTGCCTGTGCCGGCCGGCCAGCCCAGTCAGCGCTCCCCCATCTCGTCCCCCTCTTCCGTGTCCTCCTCCCCACCCTGCACCTGCTGCCAGGTGAATCCGCAGTTCTACGCCTTTCGCTGGATCACGCTGCTGCTCACGCAGGAGTTTGGGTTCCCTCAGATCCTTCGCATCTGGGATGCGCTTCTTGCCTGCCCTGAAGGCCCCATGGTATGTGTGCATGTCAGCAGCATGGTATATGCACATGTCACCATTGTACTATGTGTACATTGTGCATGTCACGGTAGTCACGGTGCATTGTACCTTACTGCCTATGCATGTAACCAAATTGTTCATGCATTTCACTGCTGTTGTCCATCTACGGCATCTGCCTTGTGCACCAGCTGTTTCAAACTGATTGCAGTTTCTCATTTGTTTTTCCTGTAATTGTTCTGTTTTGTATGCTGTGCCTTGGGTGTTGCTTCCCTCCAGGACATGCTGCTGCGGGTATGCTGTGCCATGCTCATGTGTGTGAGGGAGAGGCTGCTTGCAGGGGACTTCACCAACAATCTCAAGCTACTGCAGCGATACCCTCGCATCGACATTGAGATTATTCTGCGCACTGCTGAGCGGTTGCACACGTAGCATCGCATGTCCTGCATGTTCTTACAAGGAACATCATCATGATCATCATCATTATCATGTATGGAGCTGTGTAGGAGCTGTTTAATAGTGGTAACCTGTTTTGAGTTTTGAAGTGGAGTCTGTATAGGTTCTCATCTTTCTCCCCCTTGGGGTTGATGCGCAACAATCAATTCACTGGTATGTTCATAGATATCGCACATTTGTGCTACATAACCTGTCGCACAATTAGATCACCTGTTTGATATGGAGACAGGTAGATGCAAAATTATGGGTCCAGTTCAGGAAAATGATGTTTGTGTATGTCAGCAGCCTGAATCTGATAATCACTTTGTATGTGTCCCTTCCCATGTGACTGATTAGGCCCACGCACACCAACAAGGGTTTCTTTTTATTAACTAAGTCATTTGGAGGGAAAATCATTTTATATTCATTATAATGCATAGAAGTTCCCAAGACCCACTTTACAAGGTGGGCACGCGGTCAGCAGCACTGCCGAGCGAGGTCAGAAGGTTGTTGCCGAAGGGGTCGCTCAAGTGGGTGGTCAGGTTCTCCACTGGGCCCTCACCGGTGACCTTAGCCTGGATGAAGAATCCGAGCATCGAGAACATAGCGAGGCGGCCGTTCTTCAGCTCCTTCACCTTGAGCACGGCCAGGGTGTCGGGGTCCGAGGCGAGGCCAAGGGGGTCGAAGGAACCGCCGGGGTACAGGGTGTCGAGGTCCTGAAAAACGTAAAACAGAGAAGACAGACGAACATTTAGTACCAGGTGAAAACAAAGCAGCGACGAAACGACGATGGGTTGTTCTGGTCATGTACTCACGGTGCCGAGGGGAGAGGCGTTCTTGCCACGGAAGTACTCAGCACCGCCGACGAGCAGGACCTCGGCGATGGTGGCGGCAACCAGGTTGACGGGGATGGTGGCACCCAGGTACTGGATGCTGTCACCCTCGAGCAGGAGAGCACCGGTCTTGAACCACACGGCCTCGGGACCGCACACGCCGGGCACGTACTTGTTGAACGCCTCGGGCAGGATGAAGCCGGCGGCGCCGAGCATGGCCCAGCGACCGTGGATCACCTCGTTGGCGCGGTACTTCTCGAAGTCAGCGGGCTTCTTGCTCAGACCCAGGGGATCGTAGCCATAGCTGAATAGCACGAGAAGGTAAAAAGACCATTAGCACGCGGAGATTACGGAGGCGAAAGCAACGAAGAACCTGTAATTAGAAGTGCTAGTAGGGTAAAGGGCTGGTGCTTACTCGCCGGGAACCTCGCCAGTGAGGTAGGACGGGATCTCAGACTTGTCGAGGAGACCCTCGGGGAGGTAAGTCCTGCGGTCGGGACCTGCAATACCGACATGGTTGTTATCATTATTCATCATTTAGGAAATTCCAGGAAGGCTAAAACCCAGACATTCTTGAAGTAGTCGGATGGCCGCTGCTGATACTCACCATACCACTTGGCCAGCTCGGCATCAATGGCGGAAGCAGGCGCAGCCTTCTTGGCAGCAGCGGCCTTCTTCTTGCCGAGGGTCATCACCGTGCGGGAGGCGGACTCCACGCGGGGAGCGACCACATTCTGGCCAAGGAACGAGCTCCTGAGGACAGCGGACGAAGATGCCACGGCAGCCATGGTTGTGATGTTGGTCTGAAGTGACAAGCTTCGAACGCTAAGGGAGTTGGCGAAAGAGCTTTGACAAAACCTCTAGCAGATGGCAGGTGGAACAGAGAGGATATGAAGCTGGAAGCAGAGAGGTGGAGCGACGAATTCGGCAACACCAGCTGCGACCAGCACCGAGGATTTCGCGTTCAATTCTACGATGCTTACGTGGCGTCCCGGGACTGCGCGAGAAGGTCCGCTATCCTATCTCCCTTGTATGTCATTGGCCGATCAAAGCTTGTTACCCAGACGGAGCTTTCGGTTTCAATCATTTGTCGCACGCCACAAAACCAGCGAGGCGAGCCCTGAGCCACAGAACCCTCTACACGACAAACCAACTGCTCTGAAGCCATGTAACAAACAGAACTAACAGCAGTGCCACCTACATATAACAAATTTGTGAGCAAGCGCCTGAAGTCATACATAGATTATTAGCAGCCGACTAAAGGTTTTTACCGTTTTGAGAATAAAGGCTTGGATGTAAAGCTGGTTATTATCCTTATAAGATGAAAATCTCTAGACATTCAATGAAGACTGGCCTTGTGCATGTATAAATAACTGAGTGTTCTCAGAGAGTACATATCAATGACTTACCAAATTATTTGCAAACGTTGGTAGCAGTATAAACAAGCTATAGGTAAACTATTTCAATCTGATGTTACAGTTTTTCTGTTGTGCGGCACTTCGACGCCACGAGCTTCCGCAAACGTGTCCGCACAGGGAGGGAAAAGGCTGCTGCCTCACCTGCTGGCGGACAGAAGTAGAGGTTGGAAGGGGAGACTTGCGCACAGCTGTGGGCAGCGGAAGTAGGGCAGCGGGAGCAGTGCCGGCTAGTTAAGTTGGTTGCAGGAGCAGCAGCAGCCTGGCAGAATGCGAGGGGGAAGGGGAACTCGAGGAAGAAAAAAGGAGGTTTTCTGCAGTGCGGTACGGTGCTGCAGGACGCAGCGGGGTAGGTTCGTATGGTGGAACTTCGGAGACCTTTGGTTGGATTGGGATTGGGAAGCCTGGGGAGAGTGTCTTCGGTGACTGGTCAGTGATGGTCGGTCACATTGCCTTGCTAGACAGAAATCACTCATCAGAGAAGCGCACACACAATCTCCTTTACACAGTGCTCCATCGCGAATACTTATCCAGGCAGGAATCGTAGAATGTTGAATAAGTGCATCGTGACCGTCGGTCTCTCACCAACCACGGAAAAGTCATGTATTCAGTGTGTAGCTGCGATCGACGTTTCTCGACTTGTCATCTTACGACTTGACATTTAGGCTTAGTGTGTGAAGAATGAAATGGCGGTGATGGCTGAGGACGGCAGACTCTAGGGTTCCCTCGCAGCTCTTGATGTTGGCTGACCATTAGCGTCAGCGGAGTGGCGGGTCGCTTGACAGAATCTTACTCGGGAGATCTGTCAACGCGAGAACGTGTTACATTTTGCGCATCGTCCTGGTCGCAACACAAGATATAAACTGTTTCGACTTCCGCTATGGGTCGAGGTGCGTACGCAATTTAATTTCTCCCTTGTCCTGGCCATATAGGGTTCGCCCCTTGTTCCTGGCCATTGGGTACCGTACCGTACTCCTGCGCACGGTAATTCCGATGCTGGCTGTCTCTCTTCGTAGTCACGTTCGCTTTTTTTATCACCCTCCAAAGCCTTAGCGCTCTTATTGGCTTTTGAGGCGATTAAGAGATTCTCTGCGGGGTGATTGCGGGGCTGGTCGTTTTTTATGTGGTCACAATCCCTCGCCCTCCTGACTCACACTCACCACGAAGCCTTGGAAGCTCCTATCGTCCTAACACACCAGGCGCCTGAAAGCACTAAGCACCGCACAGCACCCGAAAGCGCCGCCAAGCACCTGAATATGCCGCACAGCGCGGCAGAGCCCAAGGAGCCTGGAGCATGCCTGTCATGTGGTCATTCAATTTCCTCGAATTTTCACTCTTCCTGTAGTTCTTAGCACGTGTTCCGTCCATTCTAAGCGCTGAGTGAGTTACCACCAGCGCCCCGTCAGCGATACTCTTGCATTGGCAGCAATTTCTTTCCCATCACTCAATCCTCACACTTGTCGGCCCAATTTCACTGCATGATACAATCATAGATTACGCCCCTTCACCGCATGGCACTCCTTGCTCAACTCTCCACATTCCTATAGCAATTTCTGATCATTTCGCTTTCTCCTCTCATCCCGGTTCCTCCTTCCCCCTTCCCCTCCCCCCGTCTCCATTCCCCTTTCTGCCCAACATCCTCATCCGCCCGCTCCCCTTCAATCCCTCTTCTCCACCCCCCCACCTCTCCCCTCCCCCCGCGCGCGACATTCCAGCTTCCGCCGATGTGTTGCGCCCATGGGCGCACCTCGACGTCGGCAAGCTCGAGGTTCAGTTCCAGTCGCAGCCCCCCCCGCCCTCCCCCTCCATGCCTCCGCGCACGCCCGAGCCTTCCGCCGAGCGCGCCCCCCACCCCGCCTTGTCATCGCTCTGGGCCATTCCAGGCTTCGCCGCCGCCGCTTCCGCCGCGGCTGGCGCAGTAGCGGGCGCAGCGGCGGGGGTTTCCAACCAGCTCGGGGACGCATGGGTCCCCGGCGGCGCGCGGCAGCAGCTGGGCGCGGGGAACGCCCGCGCGGGCAGTTCCGCGGGTGGAGCAGCCGGGGGGAGCGGCAGCGGCGGCGGGTTCGGCGGGTACAGCAGTGGGTACGGCGGGGGAGCGGAGCGGGCGCTGGGGGAGCGGATAGCGCTGAGTAGCTGGTTGGAGGACGAGGAGATGCAAGTAGCAGTGACGGAAAATGCGGAGATGATGGCACTGGGTAGAGGCGCCACTCTCATCATATTCGACGGCTTGCCGCTGCCGGACGGACGGTCAGTGGGGGCTTAGGGAAGAGGATCGAAGGGCAGATGTGATGGGATTGGGAAGGGCATGTGTGATGGTTGGTGGTGAGAAGGAGGGGATTGTGGAGCGGGGATGGTGGGTGGATGCACGCACGGGTGGTGGTGTTCCTGCCATCCTGCCCTACTGCTGTACTCTAGTCTTGTGAGCCTGTGAGTGAGCCTGTGAGCCTGTCAGGTTGTGAGCCTATGGGTCTGCAAGTTTGGGATCCCGTGGGTTCTGACGACACCAGGATTTTCTCAACTGGCTCGTCTCTTAGGCTTTCCAAACAATCTCTTTTCGCCCTCACCCTCTCCCACTTCCCACCGCCCTTCACCCATCCTTCCCTCCGCAGCCCGCGGCCCGGCAGTCACCCCGACCCAGTGGTGGTGGTACCTGCGTGTGAGCCCGACGATGCCATAACGTCTCTCGAGTGGCTTGTCTTCTCCTCCTTTGGCCCGCGCCCCGTGCCCACCCCCCCCGGCCGCCCCCCCGGGTGCTTCTACTGTGTCGCTGTGGGCACTGCCGCGGGGTTCCTGCTCGTCTATGCCGACTCAGGAGCTCTGCTTCTGAAGCAGGTGCGCCGTGGTGGAGTGGGACGGAGTGGGATGGAGTGGGATGGAGTGGGATGGAGTGGGACGGAGGGGGTAGGCGGAAGTGTGGTTGAGGGGAGTTGGGAGTGCGGGAGGGATGCGGGGAAGAGGAAGGGAGACGAGGAGGAGGAGCAGCAGGGAATGGGTGCAGGAGTATGGGTGCAGACGCTATTCCGTTCCCTTTCCTTCCTTTCATCCCTGCAATTCTGCTCGCCTATCCCCCTTTTCCTCCCCCACCACACCAACATCCTCTCCCCCCCACCCCCCCCCCTTCTCCGCCTTCTCCCTTCCCCTCCCTCCCCCCGTCCCCCTCCTCCCCCACGTCGCCTCTCATTCGTCCTGCCGTCCCTGCGAGCAGATGGTACACACGGAGCCAGTGGTGCGGGTGCGAGTGCGCGCAGTGGAGGCGGGCATGGTGCGCAACGATGGCACACAGGAGCTCTGTATCGTCACCCGCAACGCCACCCTCATCATCGCATGCACACACCTGCAGGTCCCCTCTCTCCCCACTCTCTCTCCGCCATTTCCCCACCCTCCCCTCCCCTCTCTCCCCCATTTCCCCTCTCTTCCCCATTTCCGCCCCCGTTTTTTCTATTGCCACCCAATTGCTGTACGCTCTCCCTTTCCATTTGTAACTTCTGACCAATTGTCCACTCCGTTACGCACCCCCCTACCTCCACCCCCAATCCCCTCCCCTTCCCTTCAGACCCCACCCACACCATCACAGTTCACTCAGAAATATCCTAGCTTCATCCCTCCCCCTGCCACACCTCTCTCTCCTGTCCCTCCTTCCTTCCCCCTCCCTCCCTCCCTGCCTCCCTCCCTCCCTCCCTCCCTCCCTCCCTCCCTCCCTCCCTCCCTCCCTCCCTCCCTCCCTCCCTCCCTCCCTCCCTCCCTCCCTCCCTCCCTCCCTCCCTCCCTCCCTGCCTCCCTCCCTCCCTCCCTCCTTCCTCCCCCCTCCCTCCCTCCCTCCCTCCCTCCCTCCCTCCCTCCCTCCCTCCCTCCCTCCCTCCCTCCCTCCCTCCCTCCCTCCCTCCCTCCCTCCCTCCTTCATTCCCCCTCCCTCCCTCCCTCCCTCCCTCCCTCCCTCCCTCCCTCCCTCCCTCCCTCCCTCCCTCCCTCCCTCCCTCCCTCCCTCCCTCCCTCCCTCGCTCCCTGCCTCCCTGCCTCCCTGCCACTCCCGCCCTCCCTCCTTCCCATGCCACCAGTCATTGCTGCGGCAGCGAGTGCTACAGGTAGACGACACACTCACACTGCACAACCCCCGCGGCCTCGCCTCGCGCCTCGCCTACATGTCACACGCGCGCCGGCCCCCGCCCACGCGGGACGAGGAGGCGCTCAAGGCGTTTGCAGTGCCGCTCAAAAAGTGGCGCACGGGCAGGGCCGGTACTCAGTGGAGCGACGGCGCTGTGGCTGGGCTCTTCCCCGCCCCGCTCTTCCAAACCCAGGTGCGTGCGTACGCTCCTTTCATCCCGGAACCCCCGTTTCTCCCCCTCCCCCTTCCCCCCTCCTTCCCCACTTCCCATTCCTTCCCCACCCCCCCACCCGCCCTCCCCCCCGCTTGACCCCCGTCGATCCCCAAGGGATAGTCGCAGCCTGTATCTCCTTCCATTCCATCAGCGTCACTACCCTGCCTTTCCATCTCCAGCTCCCCATCTCCAATGGTGCCCCTCCCTCTTCACTCTCGTTCCGTCCATGCAGGCCCCGAAGCAGTCTCTCTGCATTGTCACTGTGGGCGTGCACCCTACTATTGCTGCTTTCGCGTGAGTCTTCCTCTCACTCACTCCTTTTGCCTTTTCATTCCCCTCCCTTCCATTCCGTGACCTGCAACCCGCCCCATCCTTTTCCTTGCACGCTTTTCCCTCTTGCATCCTCTCCCCTTCATGCAAGTTCTTCTTACCCCCTCGCATTCACCTTTCTCCCCCACACACCATGCGTTTGTGCGCTCCTGTTCCCACCCTTCCTCCCAGTGCCACGGAGCAAGGCGGATGGGTGCAGCTAGCCTCTTCCTTTGCCACCAACGTGCGCACTCGAGCCAAATCAGCTGCGCTTTCCATCACACGCACTATCACCCGCGCACCCCGCCGCATCCTCTCCAAAACCCTCTCCACCTCTCAAGACCCCTCCAATTCCTCCTCCGACCCTACTGACCCCTCCGGTCCTTCCTCGGCCTTTTCCCCAGGGTCTGGCTCCCCCACCTCCCGCTCCTCCTCCTCCCTCTCCACCTTCTCGCCATCCTCCTCCTTGTCCTCTTCCCACGCGGATGACGACCCGCTGCACCTCTCCCGCCCGGCGCCGCCTGAAGCAGTGGAGCCGGGGCAGGCGATGGCGGTGGTGGCGGGCTTTAAGGACTCGGTGCGGCAGGCGCAGAGGCTGGCAGTGGCGCCGAGGGGGACTCTCATGGCGCTGGCGGATAACCTGGGGCGCGTGCTGCTGCTGGATACTCAGATCTTTGGGGTGGTGCGCATGTGGAAGGTGCGTGGAGGGGTGGGGAGAGGTGGGGGGATTGGGGGGACAGGGGAGGGAGGAGGGGGTGGTGAGAAGGGAGGAGGAATGGGGGGGGTTGTTGTAGGGGCTATAGGTGGCTGGGCTTGGTTCTGAGGCGGTATGACGGCGCTTCATGCCTTTTTTCGTGCATGTACGCTGCACATACATGTTCCCATCCCATGCATCTGACCATCCATGCATGTATCTCTCTCGTCCTCCCTCTCTCCTCCTCCTCCTCCTCCTCCTCCTCCTCCTCCTCCTCCTCCTCCTCCTCCTCCTCCTCCTCCTCCTCCTCCTCCTCCTCCTCCTCCACCTCCTCCTCCTCCTCCTCCTCCTCCTCCTCCTCCTCCTCCTCCTCCTCCTCCTCCTCCTCCTCCTCCTCCTCCTCCTCCTCCTCCTCCTCCTCCTCCTCCTCCTCCTCCTCCTCGCCACAGGGCTATCGGGATGCGGAGCTGGCGTTTCTGGAGGTGCCCATAATGGGGGGCGCAATGACGTCCATGGCAGCAGCATCGCCCAACGTGCACCTGCTCATGCTGCGCCCGCGCCAGCTCGCCATGTGCCTCGCCATCTTCGCGCCCAGGCGCGAGGTCATTGAGGTATCCTCTCAACTCCTCCCTACCTACCGTCCTCTCTTCCCTACTCTACCCTCCCGTTCCCTGGACTTTTTCCTCCTAGCTCTTCTCCTCTCTACTCCCATCTCCTCCTTTCCCTTTCATTCCCTCCTCCCTGTGCTCTACCTTTGCACGCCTCCCACCTGCCCTACTGGCGCCGGCTTTTGTCTCCTGGAAAACCTCTTGACATGCCTCTTTCCTGCTATTTCCCTGCTTACTCCCCTTTCTCTCTCACCCTGTGTCCATGCCCCTCTCTCCCTCTCCTCCCTCCTGCAGGTCTGGCAAATGGTGGGGGGCGGGCGGGTGGCCCTAATCCGCTGCCCAGCCAACAGCCGTCTCCTCCAACCCTCCCCTGTGATCGGAGCAGCACACACCACCGTGCCTCCCATCGCTCCTCTCGACCCCATTCGGCAGCAGCAGCAGCTGCAGATGCTGGAGCAGCAGCATATCATGCAGCACCCAGGGCAGCACCCGCGCGTGCGCAAGCAGCAGCTGCTCCTGCAGCAGCAGCTGCTGCGGCAGCAGCAGCAACAGCAGCAGTTGCTGATAGAGAGCACTGGCTTGGGGGCTGCAGGTGCCGCTGGGGGAGCAGCAGGGGGAGGAGGGGGGGAGGCGGGAGGGGCTGGGCAGGGGTTGCTGGGCGCAGTAGAGGGGTTACAGGTGGCGAGGCATAGGGCGTTTGTTCTGGACGGAGCTACAGGGCACCTGTCAGAGATTCTTCCCACTATCTCCCTCACTCCTCCGTACGTGCCTCTCTCTCTCTCTTGCGCTCTAACCCTCGATCTTTCAAGTCTTCTTGCTGATTCTCCATCAACATCTCCCCACCGCTCTCTCTCCTCCCTCCTCCCAACTCCTTTCACTCCCGCCCTTCCCCATCCGCCCGCCCCCCTGCCCCGCCACCCCTCCCTCCACCCTGTCCCTCTCTCCCGCCCCTCCCCTTTCCCCCTCTTCCCCCTCTCCTTTTTCCCCCTCACTGCAGCAGCAAGGCCTCTGCATCAGACGCGTCTCGCCCACACGACTCCCTGACAGAAGCCGATGTGTTCCAGCGCCTGTGCGACCTGCTCAAGCTCAAGCGCAACGCACGCGCTGCAGCCCAGGAAACCGTGGAGCTGCTGAGATGGAAAGCGGAGGAGGAGGAGCGGCGAGGCGCAGAGGAGCAGGGCGTGTATGAGTATGACGAGGGTTATCGGGAGCAGATGCGAAGGAGAGCGGGGCGGGATGGGGATGGGATGGGTGGGGAGAGGGACGGGGGGTATGAAGGCGGCTTTGGGGGGTTGAGGATGAGGCTGGGGATGGGGCTGGGTGCGGGGAGGGGGAGGGACGGGGATGCGCAGCAGCAGGAGGAGGAGGATCTGGTGTTGTTGCTGCTAGGCGCGCTCTCATCCCCCGTGCGCAAGCTACAGGTGATTGCCCCTTGCTCCCCCCCTCCACCCTCTTTTCCTCCCTTGCCTGTTCCCACCCCACAGCCCCACTCCCACCCTCCGACCCTTCGCTTCTCTGTCATTCCCCGTTGTTTCTCTGGCTTATCTCCCCAACTCTTTCCCCCGTGCCTAGAACGTCCCTTCTCTTTCACTTCCATGACCCGTCTGCACCCCATCCTCCTCCTGCTCCCGCCCTCTCCACCCCCCCCTCCCGCTCCCGTCCCCCTTCCCCCCGTCGGCCCCTTCCCTCCCCCACATCAGGTGCTGGACCTGCTAGTGGCAACGCGCGACTCTCTCTCAGCGCACTGCCACCTGGCAGTGTTAGAAGACGTCCTAACCTCAGTGGAAGACGCAATAGACTACAACCTCGGCGCTGCACGCGGTGGTGCTCCCGGCATGGGCCCCCCTCGCCCCCCCGCACTCAACACGTCATCCCTCCACCCGTCCTCCGGACACTACGACCCTTCGTCGGGTCACTACGACCCGTCTTTGTTCCTCCCCCCTGGACATGCGGAGATGGGCGCAGCTGGGTATAACGGGCGAGGGGCGTGGGCGGGAGCGGGGATGGGAGGCGGCGGGTGGGAGATGGCAGGAGGGATGCATGGTGGCATGGGGGGGGATGGCATGGGCGGGCACGGGAGGGAGTGGTATCGAGGTGGGAGCGCTGGGAGGGAGATGAGTGGGAGCGTGGGGGGAGTGGGGGGAAGTGGAAGCGTGGGAGGCAAGCAGCTGACGCGTGGGAAAAGCTGGGCGAGACGAGTAGATGATAAACTGCTGCAGTATCTGCAGGAGAGGAGGGGGCTGCTGCGCTGGCAGCGCCTGCTGCTGAAGGTCTTTTTGAAGCTAAGGGACGACCATGAGGAACACTTGGACGAGGAGAGAGCAGAGGACGCCAGGCAGAGGGGAATGGGAGGAATGGAGGAGGACGCAAACGGGAGGTGGTACAGGGAGGGCAGTATGGGGATGCGAATGGGCGGCCCTGGTATGGGGCCTGGGATGGGGCGGGGGCCGGGGGCAGGGGCGGATATGGAAGAGGATGAGGAGGAAGCGGAGCTGTTCACATCTGTGAACTGGGAGAGGAGGTGGTTGAGAAGGCCTGGAATTCAAGGCGGGGGGAAGCGGCGTGTTCTGTCAGAAGCAGAGGAGGCAGCGCTGGTGGATGAAACAGCAGAGCGTAAAGCACGGTACCAGTCTCTGGTTGCGGATCTAGGCGCGTGGATCAACGTGTGTGAGTCTGAATCTGAGTGCAATCTCCTCTGGATGGAAACACAGGAGGTGCGGGCCCGCGTCCCTGCTCCTCCCGCTGCCGCCGCCGCCGCCGCCGCCGCTGCTGCAGACGCCGCTGCTGCTGCTGCCGCAGCTGCCACCGCAGCAGCAGCCGCTCAGGGGACCACAGAGGAAGCGGCAGAAGCACTAGCAACGCCTGGCACCCCGCCTCCGTCTACTATCATTGGGGATGGGTTCACGGATCTCACCATCCCTTGGCCGATAGAGGAAGCCACACCACCCACTCTCTCTTGCAGCGAGTTCCTCCGCTGCTTTGGCTATGACTCCCGGTGGACGCCCAGGGAGCTTCCAGAGGATAGGAGGAAAGAGAGGCAGAGGATCAAGGCTGGAGCTAGCATTGGGGGCAGTGGCAGCGTTGGGGGCTCAGTCAGGGGGTATGACAGCGGGTACAGTGGGATGGATGGTGGTGGTGGTGGTGGAGGGGGAGGGGGAGGGTACGGCGGCACAGGGAACAGCCGGGGTGGGCGCAAGGGGTTTCATAGAGGGGGCGCTGGGGCAGCAGGGGAGGAGCGCAGCCACGGTCTCTGGCTGGCGATAGGCGAGGACGTGAGTGAACTGAGGGCGCTCTCTCACTTCATCATGCGGAATATGACCCGTGGGGAGGCAGGCACACGGAAGCTATTCCAGGTGTTGGACGTGGTGGGACTGTCCCGGGAAGACTGGCAGTGCCTGTTCCTGGTGTGGTTCCGGTCAGTCAAGGTGGACGATTTGCTCTCTGTGGGTCTAGATGTGCTCATGGATGTGATTCATTGCATCGGGTGGTTACGAGAGGATGAGGACGAGGAGGAGTACGAGGAGATCAGTATGCTCGACTCCCCCGGCCCCGCTTCTGCTGCTGCTGCCGCTGCTGCTGCAGCTGCTGGTGCTGCTGGTGTGGGAGCGTCTGGGAGGAGGCAGCAGCAGCAGGGGAGGACGATTGGGGGGCGAGGAGCACGGTCCATGCGGGTGGCTCAGCAGCAGCGCGATCACGTGCCTCCCGGCGGCCGCTTCCCGCTCTTCTTCGGCTGGTGCCAGGTCACAGGAGCAGTGGCGAAAGCACTCTTTATGGCGCGCCTCTGCGCACAGGTAGCCAAGGAAAACCTGCAGCACATAGCGTTGGAGATGGTGCGCGGAGCTACTCCTTCCTCCCGCAGCCCAAGACGACTCGCGCGGCGCTGGACCCACGGCATGGGAGGGCCTGGGGACAGGGGCATGGGGATGCAGTTAGGAGGGGATGTGGATCTAGCGCAGGCGCGGGCGGAGGGTGCGACGGTGGCGCGGCGTATGAAGCGGCTGCAGGAGGATTCGTTTGTGGAGCAGCGGGGGCTGGAGCAGTGGCTGCAGCTGGCGAAGCAGGTGGACGACGCGTGGATGCTGGGTCGCGCCATGCTGCATATCACCAAGCTCTCCGCTGCGCATGGGATTATTGTCACACGCTCCCGTGTGCCGTCGGCGGCGGAAGTGTCGTCGTTCCCCGTGCCGCTGTGGGTTGCGAAGCTGCAGCTGCTGATCTCGCCTGCGTCTGGGGTGGTGAGGCATCTGCACATGGCGCTCCTGCATTCTGTGAAAGAGCCGGCTTCCATGCGAGAGGTAGGGATGCGATTGTTGGAGGAAGCCAAGCAGTTGGAGGCGGAGAGAATGGGAGAGAAGAAGCGGGCTCCTGCAGCACCGAAGCAGCAGCAGCAGCAGCAGCAGCAGCAGCAGCAGAGCCTGCAGCAGCAGAAGATCCAGTCGCAGTTGCAGCAGGAGGAGCAGCAGCAGGCGCAGAATCGCCCGGGGGAGAGAGATCAGTTGCAGCAGCAGCCGGAGCGGCAGGAGCAGGAGCAGAGGGAGAAGCGGGAACAGAGTCTGGAGAAGCGGCAGCAGCTGCAGCAGCAATTGCAGATGGAGCGGTTTAAAGGAGAGGTGAAGCGCGGGGGTATGGGTGAACGTGCCAAGGCCCGTGCACGGGCCAAGGAGAGGGCGAAGAGAGGAGCAAAAATGGAGTGGGACGTTGGGACGCTGTTTGGGGAAGAGGAGGAGGAGGATGAAGAGGGAGGAGAGGGAGGCGAGGAGGGAAGGGAGGGTGATGAGGGTGCGGGAGAGGGTTCGGGGTTGGGCAGATTGGAGGAGGTGCAAAGGGATTCAGAGGTGGGAGGGGGAGGAGGAGGGAACGTGGAGGGTGGAAAGGCAGGTGCAGGAACTGGAGAGAGTGTGGAAAGTGGTGTGGTTGAGAGTGCTGAGGCTCCTCCTCCTGAGGTTGAGGGAGAGCAGAGTGAAGGAGAGAAGAAGAAAGGTGAGGAGAATGGGAGTGCGGGAGTGGATGGAGGTGCCAAGGAGGGGGGTAAGGTAGAAGAAGGGGATGGATCAGGAAAAAGGGTGGAGGGTGTGGGGAGCAGCAGAGGGGAGGAGGGAGCATTGGAGGAGGTTGGGGTACAGGGGGCTAAGGAGAAGGTGGATGAGGAGAAGGGGGGTAAGGAACCGATGGGAGACGAGCAGGAGAGTGAGGAACAGGGGAGCAAGAGCAGTGCTGACAGGGCAGTTGGTGATGGTGATTGGGTGGAGGGAGAAGCAGGCTCAGTGCAGGGCTCAGTGCAGGGGAGTGAACAGCAGGGAAGCGAGCAGCATGGAAGCGAGCAGCACAGGAGCCTGTCGTTTGGTAGTGAGGGCGAGTGGCGGGCTAACCAAGAAGGAAGAACCTCCATTGGACGAGGCTCAGTCCGGAGCTCAGGGGGTGGGGACAGGGACAGCGAGAAGAGCAGCGAGCGAGGCAGCGAGCGAGAGGGGAGAGAGGGCGAGAGAGGAGCAAGTGGGGAGGGGAGGTGGTTGGAAGGGGAGCGAGGGGCGGAGAGGGAAGGAGGAGTGAACCTGCTTGCCAGGCCGTCAGGACTGCGAGGGAAAGACGCTGGTGAGTTCAAGGGGAGCAGTATGCTCCGCGCTAGAAAGCTCCTTCACAGGGATTCGCAGCATTCTTCCAGTGGTGGTGGTGCCGCTGCTGCTGCTGCTGCTGGTGCTGCTGCTGGTGGTGGTGCTGCTGGTGCTGGTGCTGCTGATGGTGGTGCTAGTGGTATACAGCCCAGCAACAGCAGCAGTGCTGCGTTTTCGCCGTCAACAGTTGGAGATCTTCCAGAGAGCCGGGAGGGGGACAGCGTGGGGGACATGCCCTCCACGCCCAGCAATGACAGCAGGTCGGAACGGTCAGAGCGGCAGGAGGCTGGGGAGAGGGGCGAGAGGGAGCAAGAGAGGGAGCGGGAGAGGGAACGGGAGAGGGAACTGGAGAGGGATCGGGAGAGGGAGCGAGTGAGGGAAAGGGAACGGGAGAGAGAGATGGAGAGGGAGAGGGAGAGGGAGATGGAGAGGGAGAGGGAAATGGAAACGATTGAGTTAGATGCAGTGAGGAGGGCAGGTGTGGAGGTGCCACCAGGGGGACTGGACCCTCCTTTGCCGCCCCCTCTGCCCCCCCCTCCTATGATGATAGACGAGGAGAGGCGGAGGAACATGGCTGTGGGGATGGGCATGGGAGGCATTGGTATGGATATGGGCATGGGTATGGGTATGGGTCCTCCTGGGATGGGTCCCGAAGGTATGGGGCCAGCAGGCATGGGGATGGGGGGTGCAGGCATGGGGCATGAGGGCATGGGGCACATGGGGGGGCATTACGGACCCGAGGATAGGTATGACGGGCGTCCCCAAGGAGGCTTTGAGACCTATGAGGAGCAGGAGCGGTGGTATGAGATTGCTGAGATGGAGGCTGAGAGGGAGCGTGTGCGGGAGCGAGAAATGGAGCTGGAGCGAGAGAGGGAGAGGGAGAGGGAGCGCGAGTGGGAGAGGGAGCGGGAGAGAGTGATAGAGCAGCAAATGGCGATGGCCCGAGAGATGGAACAGGAGATGTTGAAGGCGCAGGAGGCAGCGAGAGCAGCAGAAGAATCGATTGAAGCACAGGCTGTAGCCGAGGCTGTGGAGCTGCTGAAAGAGTTACTTGTGCGCTTCTCTGTGACCTGCAACTTGGATATCCTCGCCGCTCATCGGTCCCTGGAACTTTGCCGCCAGTGGACCCAGATGGTCCCTCTCGACCGCACCGCACCGCTCCCAGCCACTGGCCCCGGCGGGATTCCGCTGAGTCTGGTGGTTTCGCACCCGGTGAGAGGGTTCGAGGTGGATATGAACGACCTTCTGTATTTCACGTATGAGCACGCGTCCACGCTGTCGACCGTGGCGTTAAAGGGCGGCGTGGTGTGTAGCATGTGGGGGCCTATGATCGGCCCGCGCGCTGCTGCTGCTGTGTCGCTGCTGCAGAAGCTCAGGCGGGCACCCACTGATGAGGAGAGCGCCAAGGCTACTGGTGAGGGGAGGATGTTACCGCGTGCAGATGGGGCTGGGATGTGGTAGTTGAGGGGGGGCACGTGGGCATGGGGGCATGGGTTTGGGGGCAAGGGCATGGGCGTGTGGGCATGGGCACGTGGGCTTGGGGGCATTGGGGGAATGGGCATGCAGGAGTGTGTTATGGGGGAATGGGCATATGCGCATGGGGAAATCCTATGCTGCTTGGAAATCCGGCGGATTTTTTCCAGCCTTTTCCCTCCCTCGCTCCATACGCCCTTCCCTACCTTCCCTCCGTTCTCTCTTCCCACCAATGACCCTTTTTCTCCCTTCCCCCCTCCCCCCACAGGCCTCGGCGGGGCATCAGTGTCAGAAGCAGCAGGAGCCGTGGGCGCATACGAGCAGCTGCTAGTTCTCCTCTTCGACTGCTCGCTCCTTGAGACGTCTCAAAACTCTTCCCCTTCCCCCCACCCCACAGGCCTCGGCGGGGCATCAGTGTCAGAAGCAGCAGGAGCCGTGGGAGCATACGAGCAGCTGCTAGTCCTGCTCTTCGACTGCTCGCTGCTCTCAGAGCTCGGGGAGAACACCGACCGGGGCAGCCGGGAAACCGACGCGTTCATAGCAGCGCGCGACGCCACGTGCCGAGAAGCCATCTCCGATTTCCGGCAGTCCGCCCCTGCGAGTGACCGAGTACATGCGTACATGCTGCTGCTGCGTGTCGTGGGAATAGCGCTGGCTCTTAATGTGGACTATGTGCCGCTCGGCAGCATGTTTCCGCCCAGCCTGCTCACCAGTTTCCCTACGCTGCGGTCGGAGGTATGGTGGGGTTGGGGGGTTGGTGGTGGGGTTGGGGGATTGGTGGAGGGTTTGGGGTACTGCGGGTGTGGCAGGGTTTGGGGTATGGTGGAATTTGAAATGCAAGAATGGACATATACAAAGCATCTGCTCTGCCTGCCCTGCGATTGTTAAATTACGTGCCCATACGATGTGCAAGCATCACATCGCATCTCTTCATTCCTTGCAGCCCGCCTTCACTGCTGCTCCATTACCTCCCAACATCCCTCTTCCCTCGCCTTTCCTCTTATCCTCCTTCCCAGCGTCTTCAAACTTCATCCACATCACTGCCCTCGTAACGCCCTTCCCTTCGCCTTTTCAACCCCCATCTCAAACCCCTTTCCTCCATGCGTTGGAATCCCTTCCTCCCCATTCTGCTGCGTGCCCTTTCCTTCCATCTCTTCCAGCCACTGTCCGAGGCAGAGGCGACAGTAGACAGCAAGCGCATGGAGGCACGACTGCAGTTCCTGCTAGCAGTCATTCTCGCCCAGCACCGCCAGGCTGCCGCTGCCACTGCCGCTGCTGCCGCTGCCACTGCCTCTGCCGCTGCTGCTGCCACCGCTGCTGCCGCTGCTTCTGCCGCCGCCACTGCTGCTGCGAACGTGCAACAGCAGGCCTTGCTCCCTGCTCCTGATTCGAGCTCAGATGCTGCTGCTGCTGCTGCTGCTGCTGCTGCGGGTGGTGGTGCAGGGGCCATGCCCCTTGCTGCCCTAGGCCATGAGCCTGGACCATCTGGCATGGGCATGGGGGCAGGCATGGGAGATGCAATGGCTATGGGGGGGATGGGCATGGGTGGCATGGGCATGGGGGGCATGGGCATGGGTGCTGGCATGGACATGGGTGGTATGGGGCAAGGCATGGGCATGATGGGTATGGGTCCTGGTATGGGGATGACCCAGGAGATGTATATGGCTCAAGGCATGCACATGGGCATGGGTGGCGGTATGCCGATGGGCGGAGATATGGGCATGGGCATGTATCCGGGTATGGGCATGCATCCTGGCATGGGCATGCACCCTGGCATGGGCATGCACATGGGTGCAGGCATGGGCATGGGTCCTGGAATGGCTCCTGGCATGGGCTATCCTGCAGGTGGGATGGATGGCATGGGCATGAACATGAACATGAACATGAACATGCACATGGGCAACATGGGCAATATGGGCATGGGAGGCATGGGACCCATGGGCGGCATGGGAGGCATGGGAGGCATGGGGGGAATGGCTGGTATGGATGGTACAGGAATGCCCCCAGCAGCACCTGTCCCAGCAGCAGCAGCCCCAGCCAAGGCGCATGCGCATCGGCTGCGGGTCTACGAAGCTCGGTACCGAGCCGCATCCGCGTTTGCCCTAGCCAATGACCTGGGTGTGCCACATGACGAGCTGCGGCGCCGCCAGGTGGCTCTCAAGTATCTCAAGCAATAGCGCTGTGTGGGTGAACATGCGTTTGCATGGGTGTGTGCAGATGCATGCACAGCTGGTGCTGAACCTTCTCAAGCCATGGTAATGTGCAGATGGACATGGGTGTAATTTTATCTGGGCCTGGGGCATCCATTACAACTCGGTAGACCCGACATGCATACACCATAGTAGCAATGACTTGTAGTGGCTAGGATGTGTTGGAAAGTACCGTACGTAAACGTTGTGTGTGGTGCTGTTACAGGCTAAACTGCGGCGGAGACGGTATGTGATGGGATATACGTAGAAATTGGCTGGGCAGGTTAGCTTGCTAGGGGTTTGCTAAGGCAGGACAGGCGTGACTTGGTGTGATGCCATCTATATGCAATCCACGCAACAACAGTATGTAGGGAACTTATCATTTACATCTGTTTACATGAACACACTAAATTACCTGAGGGGGGTTACAAACACAGGAGTCAAATGGTACCATTTCATCATCACTACAAGCCACAACTTGTGGTACTGTAATCTAAACACCCATTGCATTATTCTGCAGAAATACCGGTTTCTTCCGGTTCACACAGCACGTGCCTCCACCAGAAGGCCGATCTCTTGGGGAACCTAGCACCCCCGTGAGCAAAGTCCACATAATGAATGCCAAAGCGGCGTGAGTATCCCATGGCCCACTCAAAGTTGTCCAGCAGCGACCACGCGAAGTAGCCTCTCACAACTGCGCCATCCCTGGTGGGGGAGACGCGATGCGTGGCGAGGGAGGGCGGGAGCGATGGGGGGTTGAAGGGATGGAAAGGTGAATTCTGTACGCATGCTTGGATGCGGGAAGGGATGATATGGTGTGTGTGTGTGTGTGTGTGTGTGTGTGTGTGTGTGTGTGTGTGTGTGTGTGTGTGTGTGTGTGTGTGTGTGTGTGCGTGTGATGATCAAAGGACAATCACGACCATTAGGTGTTCCCATCCCATGGCTAACCAGATGAGCTGGTAACCAGCTGAAGCACGTCCTCCCTGTCCTTGAAATGCCAGTGCAAACCAACCACTAAAGAGTGTCGCATTGCCTTCTTGGCACACTAATATCAAGCTCCGGAAACGAATCGAGTGCACCACACACCTCATGGCATCGGCAACGGCTCCAAGATAGTCGTTATAGAAGCTGACGCGCTTCCAGTCATCAAGAGCAGCAGGCAGCTGCAGCGAGTCATACGGCTGCTGGGGAGACTTAGCTCCATCATTCCCCTGAGGTCCCCGAACGTGCAGCTGGGAGAGTGAATTGCGATCCAACGGTGGCAGTGCGTCAGCATCATCGTCCATGCCTGCACAGGCCTCGTGTGTGATCAGCAAAGAGAAGTAGGGACGAGTGATGTGCCGAGCAACGGAAACAAGGTGAGAGGAGAAGTGTTACATGGGCGGAATGTGGACAATTTGGTAAGGTTTGCCTTGGACACGTGGTAGTGCAAGAGTGGGTGCAAATTGCGGAAAGAAAAGCAAGCAAGCAACAACCGTTCTCACAGGAGAGGCAAGGAAGGTAAGGTGGGAAAGGCAGGCGAGGCGAGAAAGGCACAACGTAAGACACACCGTTCTCAGTGATTAGGATGGGAGGGCGGTTGTAACGCGCTGTGATCCAGTTGAGAAGCTTTGTGAATCCCCATGGCACGATGTAGAGCCATTCAGAGGCTGCCTGGAGGCAGGGAGATGGGCAGGAGGTGAGACGGAGACGGAAGAATGAGGTTGACTTGTAGCATTCTTAGGTGGATTGCAGGCGATGGGCTTGTGTGTGTGAAATACAGACAAAGGAAATTGTGTGATCAACAAATTGGCATGTGTGATTAGGTGTGGGTTTGGATGAATTGGCAGAGCGTCCTTACCCGCTCTCCAATGGGGATGCCATCTCGTGATGCTGCACACAGGGCAGGAAGCGGGAGGAGGGAGAAGGGGAGAGGAGAGGGACAGAAAACGGAGAGTAGAGGGAGAGGAGAGGGACAGAGGGAGAGTCGAGGGAGAGGAGAGGCACAAGAGGTGGAATGTAAAATAGGCACATGAGGAGGAAAAATGAGAACGAAAGGCTGCTCTCTTCAGTAGGAACAAAGAAGGGATCCCGCTCACCCAATATCTCAACACCCTGGTCCTTGAAATGGTCACCCTCATCCTCCCCAGATACCGCTGCAGCAGCAGACCCGCTCTCCTCACTCTCCCTGCCCTGCGCGCTTGCAGCAAGTGCAGGCGACTCGTGCGGCAGCAGAGGAACTACAGCAACCATGCCAGCTCCTGCTGCTGTGGCCGCGAGGTCATCCACAACAGTATTGCCAGCAGCATCAGCAGCAGCTGAAGGAGCAGCGGCAGGAGCGGGAGTGGCAGGTTCAGCAGGAGCAGCACAAGAGACGAATTTGGAGGTGTAGTGGTTGACTCCTACAAAGTCCAGCGACCCCTTGAGCTGCTGCTGCTGCTCCCGTGTGAAGCAGGGCAAGCGGCCCCCCACCCTCTGCTTCATCACTGCTGGATAGTCGCCTGAAAAGAGCGGGTCTAGCACCCTTGGCGTGGAGAAGGGTGGTGAGGAGAGCGCGAGGTAAGAGGGAAGTGTGTGTGTGTGGCAGGGTTGGGAGAAGGAAGTGTGGAGACGAATGAGGGGGAAATAGCTGGGAGGAAGAGGTAGGAAGGAGGACAAAGGAGACAGGACAGGGACTGAGAAAAGAAAATTAATCCTTGAAAAACCTGAGAGCAGAGGCTACACCACACTATAGACTGATGACGCCTCCTTACCGTACCGCAGCATATTATACAATTCCCACACCACCACAACTCCACCACGCAACCTCTTGAGGTTCGAAACGCCCTGATTAGAAAGGTCAAGGACTCCCAGGCATCTCAGGGCACTCACCATGCAAGCTGGAACTGCATGCGTCTCTCTGCTGCTTGCACATCAGCAGGCGAGGAGGTGAGAGGCTCCGCCCACTCCCCGTCCACCGCCAGCCCTATGCTCATGCCGCTGTGGGACTGGGCGGACATGGGTGACACGTGGGTGTAGTTTTGAGGCGCCTCAAAAGTTAAAAACTACACACCCCATCCGCTGGCAGCCCTATGCTCATGCCGCTGTTGGACTGGGCGGACATGTGGATACATGGATGAAACACGTGGGTGACACGTGAAACATGGGTGCCACATGGTTGATGCATGGAAACAAGGGTGATAATACATGGGGAATACAAGGGTGATCAAAGAATGCTCTCACTCACCCTGAACCTTAGCCGGAAGGCCTCAACAGCAGCAGCGTGTGCGAGCAGTAAGTGGTGCATCACTAGATATGGCTCTCTAGCAGAGTTGCCTCCTTGGGGAGAGATGGCACGGTTGGAGGAGCGCCCAGGGGCGTGAATGCCCCACTGGTACCCGCACAGCGTGAAGCAGAGCGGCTCGTTTAGAGTGATCCAGTGCGGTGCAGAGCGGCCGAAGAGCGTGAAGCAGGTGTCTGCATAGGTGCGAAAGCAGGGCCTGTTGGGGTGGGATGGAGGGAGTGAGGGTGGGTGGGAGGGTGGGAGGGTGGGGGACGAGGGTGGGTGGTAGCGTGTGAGTGAGGGGAAGCAAGCGGGTGCGTGTGTGGTAATGCGGGGCCAGTGATGGGGCATGGAGGGACTGGATGAAGAGGCGGGCAGATGGGCATGGAGCAACGGTAGAGGCAGGGTGCTGCATTGTAAAAGTTGTACTTGTGATTGCTTGCTGAGTATGCTTCTGATCACTAGCTAGCAACAACTAGAACCCAGGTCTATCGTCCCCCCTTTATTCCACCTTGCCCTCAAAAGAGATCGTATTTCCAGGCCACGCAGCAGCGCTCTGACTCTATTACCCAGGCACCTCAGGAACCAACTCGGCTCTCACACTATTTCGGGGCTCCTCCAGCCGCCAAACTCCTTCTCAAGGGCGAGAGGTAGGTCCCAGTGGAAGAGAGTCACGTAGGGCGTGATGCCTAAGGGGGGAGAAAGGGGGGAAGGGGAGGAGGAGGTTGGGAGTGGGAGTGGGAGAGGAGTGGGAGTGCTGGCCTAACCACATGCCACTTCATGAGATGCCACCCCACCACCTGCCACCCGATTGCAGGTCACCCCTACCACAAGCCACCTGCAAAGCATCCCTCCACACAACACCCACCATGCACGCCTTCATTCATTCCAGCGTACCCCCCCTCCACACAACACCCACCATGCACGCCTTCATTCATTCCAGCGTACCCCCCCTCCACACAACACCCACCATGGTCCAGCAGTGCTTGGATGAGCGCAGAGTAATATGCCACCCCCTCGGGATTCACAGGCGCCCGCCCAGCTATGGTGGGGTGAATGCAGGAATGATGGTCGTGTGGTTACCGGGTAACAGCAGTGGCACGAGGCAGGCAGGGTAGAGCCGATGAAAGGTGTAAGGGCAGATGTGCATTGGAAGGAATTGAGTGGGGAAGTCGCACACATAAGACAGTGCTGATTGTTGACAATGGCATAACATCCTAGCATTCCACCCATCGTTACATAAAACGGCGCTTGATCACTGGGCATGATGGCTCACTGGGCATGATGGCTCACTGGGCATGATGGCTCACTGGGCATGATGCGTGACCATGATATGGAAAAGCGGTATGCCTTCATCCCCATGTTCACCATCAGTGCGATGTCCTCCTGATATACCAACCCCATGCCATGCCACGCCATCACATGCCATGCCATACCATGCCAAACCATGCCACACCATGCCATTCAACGCCACGCAAGGCCATGCCACGCCACAGCATGCCATGCCATGCAAGAGAACAGACAGGAAAGCTTGAGGAAATGACAGTGAGGCGAGCATGGAACAAGGTAGAGGCACACAGGCCAAACCGAGTGCATGTTCATGATTCCAGATGCAGCGTGCATCATGGCAGCAGAAAGTCATGGCATGGCATGGCATGGCATGGCACCAGAGTCTCTGCTGCTGACCCCTCCTCTAGCGTTACCTGCCTCACAGCATGCATGCTGCACACTGCCGAATCTTCTCTCACCTTGTATCGGTGGTATTGATCGCATGCCACGTCTCCTGTGTCACCGTTCAGTGTCTTGCCTGCACCCACCACCATGACCGCATGCATTCGTCCATCCACGCATCCAGACATTTATGCATCCATGCATCGATACATGCATCATTCCATTTGTGTATGCATGCATGCACCAGGCATCAGCCAAGGATAAAGCAGGGGATCTACTCATTGCGAGGCTACTGAATCGCCATGCGCTCGGATGTGCCAGGAGCAGAACTACACAGATAAGGGCATGAACAAGTGCTAAGATCCTTAGAATATAAGACCAGCTGACATGCACTCCTCACCTGACAATCACCTGACATGCACAAGGCACGTGCCACATAAGCTCACCTGGCGGCATGCATTCACCTGGTGTGTGCGAGAATTCGTCCCATATGCTGGGGCCCCGACCCCCCTCCCGTGCTGCTCCCTCCACCTGATGCCATGCCAGTGCCATAAGAGCAAGGGACGGCGCCAAGACACATATTGAGGCTTTCAAAAGCGCAGATCATGTTTGCCGATCAACAAAGGCCACATCACGATTCGCCTATCCGTGTTTATTGAAGTATCCCCGCTTCAGTCACCCTGAGGTGCTTCCACGCAACTCACCTGGTACGCGGCCGTCGCAGTTCCGAACACGAATTCTGGAGGAAACATGCTCCGCAAGACGCGGCGCTTTCCACGCTGGCCATGCGCGGGAGCTGCCATAAGTTCCAGTGCTCTCTCTCGACCCTCGATGCGTCGCTTCGTCCTTCCACTGGTTCGCTTCCCTGGCGCCTTGAGCGGGAATGTGTGATAAGAAATCTAGCCACCTGCGGTTCCAGGGAGCTGTACGAAATCCTCGCTATGCGCTTTCCATTACAGGACTCTCTGCTCTCCCGACGAACGTTCCTTGCATATCGCACTCCGACATGCGAAACGTTCAAACCAAAAGGCGGGGAGAGGTTCAGATCGGGTGAGCGAGCAGCCCGCGACAGTCATTCGACAGCAACGACAATTGGATGGTTTGGTTGGATTCATGTCCATGAATCCGTGATCAAAGATGGGGGAGATCGAATGCACGAATTGATCATCCCAAGGTGCAAGCGAAAAAGAGGAAACTGTTCTGTAGACGTCGGAAATCGTGAAACTTATATGTACAACAAAAAACAAATCTGGTTAACAATATGTTAACATTTAATTGATCTCCTGCATTCTGTAACTTTATGGGCCCAAAGAGAACGCAGCAACATAATGAGAAAATAATTGGGATTATGTAGATATGAGGCGCTTGTATGATCAGGTTTAAAGTGTAAACCTTTACTGAAATCTTATGCACGTGCTAAAAAAAAACAGCAGTGTGACTATATTTTTTGACACAAGAAAATCATTGCAATGTCATGGTGCTGAATATTTGATAGTTGGAGAGCTTATGGCTGTATCTTCGTTTTAGATGTATAAGACACTCACTTTGTTTACCCGTTTCAGGACATCTTTCTCCACAACCTTTTCCACGCCTCGTATATGTATGGTTTTGCAGGCAGTCCCCGAACCTGCAGGGTTACTGCGACTTGATGTTTACTTGGCTCGGCCCCTCATTCATGACTTCTGCGCCTCAAACTCGCGATTCGGTTATCTTCCATGCCTGTCTGGTCTGGTCTGGTCTGGTCTGGTTGAGGTGGGTCTCCACCCCTGAGAAAGGTTCCTCCATTCACACGTGACTCCCAAGGCAATTGAAATGTTGACTTTTCCGTACCATAATTCTCCACGCCATGGTTTGGTGTACACAGCAATACCGAACCAGAAGCTTCTCTTCTGGTTTGGTACGGGCACGTAATCGAGGAAGACCAAGCCACTTCCGCACGTCACTCCCTAGGTAAGCCCATAGCCCAGAAAGGTAGCCTTGCTGCTGCCCGAAGTGGGAGCAATCAGCACCGAGCCTTTTTCCAAACCATCATCTCTGGTTTGCAGCAGTAAATACCAGCCCTGACCTTCACGCACACCGCGCTAACCCAAGTACGTTCGGTGATCGAACTTAGTGACGGCTGATGCCGCCGCGATCCACGGTCCCACGGACATGCCACAGATCAGCACGACAACCGCCTCGCACGCAGCCTTTCATCAATCAGCGCTTCCACCCTACATCCCATGGCGGCGGCAAGGGGACGCTGATCATGCTGATCCCGTGTTTGCCTCCTGGTGGACTCGCAGTCACACACCACAGCACACCCCCTGCAAACCGCATGTCCTCCATGGGCATACACCTACTCCCACCCATTCACTCGCACTTCAAGTTTTGCCCGCAGACCACTCCACGGAACAGTCACCAGCCATCCCCACCATGGCAAATTCGTCAAGCAAGGCATGTGATGCGATGCGATGCGACGTCGCTCACTGATTCCTCCTCTTCTCACAACGCAGCCCCTTTCCTCCACACCACATGCCCCTCGGCCGTCCCTTCCGCGCATCGTTTGCTCCATCCGCCGACTCGCGACAGGCAGCAGAGAAGGCCCTCGAAGGAAAAGTAGCTTCGCCCGAGAAGCCTTTCGCAATCCTCTAGAAGATTACCCATAGTTGTCTCGGTAATCCCTGAGCTTGGCCCTTCAGAACTATCCCACCCGCCAACAGAGCAGGCTTACTTGCACAAACTCCTTAACTCGAACCGACCGCAACCAATTTCAGCCGATCTCATAGGTCTAGACTAATACACGGGAAAGCACGGAACAGCAGCAACCGTATAACTCCATAACCGCTGAAACGGCAAAATCTCGCTGCTGGACTCTGTCAGGTGCTCACCTCCGTCGGCTCCGTTAGTCTACTTCCGTTGGTCCATCAGAGAAGCATTTCTTCAAGGCCACCTTCTCTATATACCAGTCTATCGCCACATATCACGAGCTACCACACGCGTGTGCGTATCTCCTAGGCTCCAGCGGAACTGAACTCGGGGGGACAGAGCAGGTGACACAGAGAGCTTTTCTGACGGGCTACATGCACAGGTGGTGGAATCGCAATTTTGAAAAAAATTCATGAGCGACTTTAAGGAGGTCCAGGAAACTCTAGTTGAGCTGGGCTGAGTTGCGACGGGCGTTCCTCGCGTAATTCTGGGGAACGAGGGGCGCCAGGACAGGAGAGCGCACCGCACCGAAAGGAATAGAGCTTCCTCTGAGGCTTCGTGACGCCTGTGACCTGCGACTCCTCTCCCTCTCTCCCGCTTCCCTATCCCTCCTCCACTCCTTTCCTCTCTTCCCCTCTCTCTCTCTCTCGCTCTCGCTCCTCCCGCTGCGTTTCATCGTGCGACGCCACCATGCTGCGGGCATATGGTGCACTGCTTGTCGTCGTCGCGTCGCTCGTCGCAACATCGCCTATCCAATCGAGAGGTGCGACATCTCATATTCCTCGCCTGCCACCGCGTCTCACCACCCAACGTCATATCCATCGGTTGCAAATATACTCGGACCTAATCATTTCATCCCATTCGTCTGTGCATCTCCCTCCCCTCCCTCCCTCTTCTCCCCCCTCTTCCTCATTCCGTCCTCGCCCTCCCCTCCTTCACCCGTCCCCCATCCTCCTCCTGGTTCGTCTCCTGGTCGAACGCGCTGTTCCATCTCCAGCTCGACCTTCCGATCATTTACTCCTCGTCTCTTCCTTGTGCCCCTTGGTGTTCCTTCTCCACTCGTGCCCCACCCGTGCTTCACCTGTGGTCCGAGTTTGCCCCTTTTCTTTGTGACTTGTCATCCTCTATCCCTCATCGCTAGTTGGCCTCTAGGACTATTCATTAGTTCGTAAGTGATCTAAGCTGTCCTTGTCACTATTCGCCTCCGCATCTCCCTCCTTCCCCACGGAACAGCGGCGGCAATACAGCGCAACATAATTCACAATGGCAATTTCGAGTCGCCTGGTTCTAAAGACATAAGCGCGCCGATAATCTCCGCGGAGGGCGGCGTCGCGCTGCACCCGGTGGAGGGATGGGAGGTGAAAGAGGGGTCGATTAAGTACGTGCGCAGCGACACGTGGCGAGCCGCGGAGGGGAGCTACAGCGTGGCGCTGAACGGCGCGGGGCCGGGCGTGCTGAGTCAGCAGGTGGCGACGGAAGAGGACGCGTTCTACGTGCTCACCTTCGCCTTGTCCGCCGACCCTTGTACGTTGGCGCGCGCTGTGCGTTGGCGCTATCTGCTTCCCGCCCCCTCCCTCCTCTCCTTTCCCCCTCTCCCTGCACACACACGTCGTTAGCTCGCCCCTCTCGTCCTCTTCCCACTCTCGCTTCTCTTGTTCGCTCCCTGCACTCCCCCGCTTCCCTTCCTCTCCCCCAGGCGGCATCAACGATCTGCACGCGCTCAACGTCTCAATCGTCGCGTCGAACACGGACGTAATCGCGGTGCGCACGCTCGAGGCCGACGCGCTCGGCACGGCGGGCGGCGCGATGAGCTGGCGCGTGGAGCGCATCGCGTTCGAGGCGCAGACGGGCCCGACGCGCGTGGAGTTCCGGTCGCTGTCGCCCGGGGAGTGCGGCCCGGTGGTGGATAACGTGCGGCTCGTCAAACAAGGTGCGTGAACACGCCATGCGGTGATCCGTGTGAGGACGATGCGCGTTCGGTACGAAGTGCGCTGTGCGTTCAAACGGCAAATCAGAAGCGATCATCATACATATAAAAACTAACAATCAGAGACTCTCATACCACCCGCAACGAGGTGTCATCGCCCCGTGGAATAAGTTGGTTCTAAGGCCCCTCGTTACCTCTCATGCCTCCTCCCCCACCCTCCTATCCCTCTCCCTCTTTCCCCCCCTTGTTTTTCCCCATCTCCCGCTTCTCCCTCAGACCCCGTGTCGCTGTTCTTCAAATCGCCCAACACCGCGTATCCCGCGGGGACGATCGCGTCCGTCGAATCCTCGACGGGCATCGACGGCTGCGCGCGCCACTGCGTCGCGCTGCGCGAGTGCGTGGGCTTCACCGCGGATCTCCGCCACCAGCTCTCCGCGCTCCTCAATGGCGGAATAGGCGGCGCGGGCGGGAGTGCGGTGCAGTGCGATCTGAAGCGGCGCATGGTGAAGCCCGTGCCGGTGGGGCCGTATGCTACGGACGCGTATGTGCTGCGAGGCGCGCCGTGCTCGTTCAGCGGTCATGAACCGGTATGCCATCACTTGATGAATTCAACACACAGAAGCGCATTGCATGCGAAATAAAGTGATTCGGTCTCTCTAGCTTCTCTCCATCTCTCTAGCACCCAACCCTCTCCAAGAGCCAAAACACGCTCGCTACCTTCTTCCCGCTTCCACACACGCTGTTCCCCTCACCCCCCCACTCCTCCCCACTCCTCCCCACTCCCCAGGCCGTGTGTCCGCACATCCTGCCGCTCCCCGGGCTCATCCCACTCGCCTGCGTGGCCTCGCACCACGTGCGCCGCTCTCCCAGCCACCCCTTCACGGGCACGTGCCGCCCCATGCAGCGCACCGCCATGTGTCCGCTCGCAGGGGGGTTCTTCCGCCGCGGCGCGCTCTTCCACGCGCCCCACCGCCTCGCCCTTTCCGCGCCCATCTCGCGCGGCTCTGCTGCGGCCGTCGCGGCGTTTCTCGGCGCTGGGAGCGGTGCTGCTGGTGCCGGTGTGATTGGAGGAGGGGGATTGGGCAGAGCAGGGATGTTGGGTGTGGTTGGGTCAATGCCCTTGGACCCTTCTGTACTGCCTCAACCACTCACCGCTGCCACTACTGCAGACGAGGGGCAACGGCAGCAGCAGCAACAGCAGCAGCAGCAGCAGAAAGAGGCTTCAGAAGCGCCAGGAGCAGATGACTCTGGCGCAGCGTCAAGAGAAGCAGCAGCACAAGTAACAGGGATGGCAATAACCCTGGCGTCAGAAGAAGAGTCGTCAGCAGCAGCATCACCGGATGTGCTGCCATCGCGAGTGTGTGCATGCGAGCCGGGGCATGGGGGGATCGCCGTGCTCCGATGCTGGCAGTGACAGTCCATACCGGCATGATGATGTGGAGTGAAAACGGTCATGGTGGTTGGGGCAGTGCGTGCATCAAGCATGCACCTGATTACTTCTCTGCTGTGGGCTGTGGCTTCTGTCCTGGTGCCACTGTGTGCAAAACAAGGTAGGGGGGTCTTGGCTGTGTCTTGGTCATGTGCCATGTGGGCTGCTGCGTGGGCTGCTGCTGTGTCCGATCCGATCAGAATGGGAGTCTCATTTTGGGAGTGGGGCATAAGGAATGGAGCCTTGCATCTGATGATTCAGAGCAAAGGGTCTCATTCCCCTGACAGTATATGTATGGGTACAGGGAGGGTTAACAGTTGGGTATAAAGGGGTTCCTGAGAGTGGCCAGCACTGCTCACGGTACCTAGTTATCAGGACTTGCTGCATCTCTCAAGTGTCTCTTCAAGTCCTGATGTAATGTGCTATGCTTCTTAATTGCTAGAGTTCAGTTATGTTTAAAACATACCGTATTCAGTTTGCAAGGGTGTACAAGATTTACGATACTGTACATTCAGAACAGTTCAGAACGTCAATGATAAGTTACAATAATGTCACTGGGTTTTATGATAAGGTACTAACCAGTAGATTCAGAGAGTAGTGCCAATGTAACCGAGCCTGAGATTACTGGAAACCTGTTTTTTACTGTCCGACGTTCGCCCTGACTCTGACGCTGTGCACAAGGGAGACGTTAGCCCAACTTCTTGCGTTGTTGACCATTCACATGCAGTGATCTCCCAATTCGCTTTCCCCAGGCTGCAGGAGTCTGCGACGAAACGAAACATGCGGTCATCTCACTTATCCAGTCGCCCCTGCAGGAACGACATCACTCGCAGCACGAGCCCTCTCTTATCCGCTCGAAACGCCTCCACCAGCCGTGCTTCCTGCGCCGTCATCCCGCCTATAGCCCTCTCTGCTGCGCCACTCTCCATTCCTGCCGCCTCGGCTGCCAGCCGCACCGCTGCTGCTGCACTGGAATCAGCAGCAGCGCTGCCAGTGGTTGTATTAGCGCCAGCACCATCAGCAGTGGCAGCGGCTGTACCTTTTGTAGGCTTGTCTGCAGCAGCAGCAGCAGCAGCAGCAGCAGCCTCAGCAGGAGGCACGCGGGAGAAGCTCTGCAGAAAGATAAAGCACAGACCCAGCAGCGTCCTCACTGTCTTCTGCTCACACTCCCGCCCAAGCCTCTCCACCGCATCCAACCCCTGCAGCTCCTGCAGCGGTACCTGCCTCACATCCACCGAAGCTGGAGCATACAGCACTCTCAGAGCGGCCAGCAAGCGAGGGTCTATGTGACCAGGCCCGCCCAGGTTCATCTTTCTGTCTGCATGAGGCCCGGATAAGCCCAGCTTTGCAATCACTTCCATGCGCACCCGGGCCCCTCCCCCTGCCTCCGGATCCAAAGGCCCTTCTAGCCTCCTGACCCTCTTCTCCTCTCCCCTCTCCTCTCTCCCCGTCTCGTTCTCCGCATCTGCCTTCCCCTCTCCAGTTCCCGTTCCCGTCTCCCTCGCCCCTCGTCCTCCCTTTCCCCCCTGCTGCTCCCCCCCATCGCGCCCATCCCACCCATCGAGCCCAGCAGCAGCGCGGGCAGCTTCAATGAGGGGAAGGCCGTAGGCCATGGGGAGGGTGTCGTAGGCGTTGTTTTCAGGCACAAAGCCATAATCCAGGAGAAAGAGGTCCGTGGAGAGATGGCCGTAGTCTATGCTTATGGCGTGCCTGGGGGGTAGTGGGAGGAGAGCGCGGAGCTGGTGTGGGGGATACAGGAGGGGGGAGGGCGAGAGAGGAAAAGGGGAAGAACAGGGAGAAAGGAGAGGAGGGTGAGGAGAGAGAGAGGGAGTCGGCAGAACCGCGTGCGTGGGGTTGGGTTGGAGAGCAGGTGGGGTTCTTACCTCGTGTGGTTGTTAGTGGAAAACGCAAGAGACAAGAGGGAATTGAGGGAAGTGAGGGAAGTGGTTTTCTAAGTCACATGCAAATATCGCCATAGTGAGTAAGTCACGCGCATGGCATGTCTCCCGCCCACCTCTGCAGTGCCATCTGGCAAGAGAGAGATCTTAGCCGTTGGATTGGCATCATGATTCGCCAAATCAATCACCGGCAAAAACACCCTTTCGCCTTCCTCCCCTCTCCTCCTCTTCACCCCCTCTCCACCCCCACCTCCCCCTTCCTTCTCCTCCTTCCCCACACTCCCTCCTCCTCTTCCATCCAACACCCCACTATCGCCCTGATCTCCCTTTCTCTCCCCCAAGATTGTAGGCACTCGGAAGGCACGGGAGGAGGCACAGCCCATGGCCCATGCAAGGTCCGAAGGGGAGGCTGGCTCATTTCCGAAGAGGCGGCAGCGCTGGGATGCCTGGAGGAGGAGAGGGGAGTGGGAGGAGGGGGGATGAGACGATGAAAACAAGGCCCATGGCCCATGCAAGGTCCGAGGGGGAGGCAGGCTCATTTCCAAACAGGCAGCACCGCTGGGATGCCTGGAGGAGAGAAAAGGGGGAGTGGCGGGAGGGGGGATGAGGCGCTGGAGGAAGCAACTGCACCTTGCAACTGCACCTTGCAACTGCACCTTGCAACTGCACCTTGCAACAGCACTTCTACACATCCCAGCCAGCAAGGTGCGTACCTGCAGCGAGTCCACCACGTGTGGCAGGAAGTCAGAGGCAAAGCTTTGAGTTGACTCAAAACACGACTCGAAATACACATGGAGGGGGAGAGCAGCAACGTGCGTACCTGCAGCGAGTCCACCCACCACGTCTGGCAGGAACGCAGAGGCGAAGCGGCGGAGCATGAGCAGGCAGGCAGGCATGAGCATGCAGCAAGCAGCACGTAAGCAGCAATGCTGCAGCTGCTTACCTGCAGGTTTACATACACATGGAGGGCGAGTGCAAGCTGCGTACCTGCAGCGAGTCCACCACGTGTGGCAGGAACTCAGAGGCGAAGCGACGCAGGAACGTGCTGCGCTTGGCCAACTGCCACGTGGAAAGGGGAGGAGTGGGAGTGGGAGTGGGAGTGGGAGTGGGAGTGGGAGTGGGAGAGGAAGAGAGGGAGTTGAAAGGAACATCGGGAAGGAAGGCGTGGGGTTGCATATGCCACTCTCACTGCCTGCCATTGCTTTCCATCCACAAGTCCATGCCTGCTCATCCCCTACTGGTTCCCTATATTCCCCAATTGCTGCTCCCATTTCCCGTTCCCGGGAAAGGCGCGGGGTAGATGGGGAGACGAAGAAGGTGCGAGCATGGGGTGTTTTCTATGAGATCAACCTTCCCCCCACGAACAACAATGGGATACGTCTTCCCAGGACCACACCTACCTCAACCTCCCTAAACCTCCCTCAACCTCCCTCGACCTACCTCGGCCTGCAGTGGCGGGTAGCCGAGAGCAGCGACAGCAGCAGGCGAGAAGAAGATGGGGAGAGAGAGGGAGCGCGGGAGGAGAGCGATGTAGGGGTCCCAGTGGGGGGCAGGGAGAGGCGGGGAGGGGGGAGGAGGAGGAGTGGCGGGGGTAGCGGAGGAGGGGGAGGAGGGAGAGGACGGGGAGGAGGGAGAGGATGGGGAGGAGGGGGGAGATAGGGAGGAGGATGAAGATGCTACGGGAGTTGTGAGAGTGTCGGGGGTTGCATGTCGCCTCTGCTGGTGCAGCAAGTGCAGGCCCAGGCGGAGCGACCAGAGGGACGCTGCACGGTGGGTGAGAGGTTGGTGGGAAGGAGGGGAGGGAGGGAGGGAGGAGGGGAGCAGGGAGGTGTATGAGAGTGGGGAAAGTTGTGGGCATTGTTGGGTTACTACCACGTAAAAGCACCTCCAAAAACACAGAATAAACAGCATAGAAAAGCAACATGAGCTGCTTTTTGTACATGTCATGCCATGGCACTCACATGGCACCAGCTGTCCCATCTTGCTAATTGCCACAAAGGCCCTCGCCTCCTCCTCCGCCTCTCCTCCTCCCGCCCCTCCTGCTCCTTCCGCTCCTTCTCTCGCTTCTCTCCCCTTGCCTCCTGCCACTTCCGAGCCTGCGGGCCAGGCTCGGCCGAGCTGCAGGCGGGGAGGCACGGAGAGGAGCAGCTCGCCTTTGCCCACGCTGCGGCTGGTGGTGAGACAGAGGCCGCCGTGGGAGTCAGGGGTCACTGCGATGGCGCCTGGTGGGGGGAGAGGGGAGGGAGCACGGCGGGAGGAAGGGGGGAAGGGACGGAAATCTGGTGGTCAGGCAGAGGCCGCCGTGGGAGTCAGGGGTCACGGCGATGGCACCTGGTGGGGTTGAGGAAGAGGAATAGGACGGGGTGGGGTGGGGTGGGGTGGGGTGGGGTGGGGTGGGGTGGGGTGGGATGCACTGGGGTTCTGACACGACAGGTGCGATGTCGGTCTGGTGGGGTTGACTGCATGCCCCTCGTGCCTGCATGAGCATAGACGCGCACACATCCCCCTCCATGCGTACACCCACCCATCCCCACCCATCCCCACCCACCCACCCACCCGCTCTCGCACCTGCATGCCCGCCATTCTCCTGCAGCCATTGGACGAGCGACGCCACACGGGACGGGAGCGAAGGCAGCTCTTGCGCTGGCGATGGTGGGGAGGAGGAGGATGGAGGTACCGATGGTGGTACCGATGGTGTTGATGCGGTGGTTGTCGCGGCAGGTGCGCATGGCGCGGATGGCGCGGATGGCGCGGATGACGCGGAGAGAGTCGCTGGTGCGGGGACAGCGGAGAGGGGGAAGGGGATGAGAAGCGGTGAGGGGCGGAATAGGAGAAACGGGACGAGACAGGGAAGCGTGAGGAACTGGGAAAGAGATGACGGGGACGGCGCAGGGAGGAGCGAAAACGAGAGGCGGAAGGGAGCAAGGGTGACAGCGTGTGCGCAAGATACCGCTGCCTGTCTTACAGAGCAGTCTCGCGCGCAGGAGGGCCGCTGGCGCGCGGAAGGCCGGCCCCGCGGCTCCGCCACCTCGCGACAAGCGCAGCGCTACAGCGCCCGCCCACGATCGCGCGGGCATCGCGGCAGCGCTGCAGTTGCGCCGCGGCGAGGAGGGGGAAGAGATCAAATTTCAATGCTCTTGTGCGTGATTTGGTTGAAGGAACCGCGCAGAGTGCTTCATCTTTGGCAGAGTTGGTCAGACTCGTTAGTGAATAAGGGCGCTTCACCTCTCAGTTCGAACAGGACGGTTGTTCGAACAGGCGAAATGCTACAGTTTTCGCCACTCCTCGTATGGGTGTTCGTGACGTCGCTAGTCGGAAATTTCGCGAATTTGAACAGAGTTGTCACACGGGGCACGAAGCTCTCCATTCCGCACGTTCGAACAGAGTTGTTCGAACAAAGTTGGGTTTGGTGACAGGAATTCCGCATGGACGACTGATTTTATTGGTTAGCAGGCTTCGGGTCGCACTCGAATGTTTGCGACCATTGCAAATGTCGCCATGCAGGAGAAAGTTCATCAAAAAGGACATTGTTGTTGGGAAACAACAAGGTGAGCAGTAGTAGAAGAGCACGAAGAGACTGTTTGACTGGATGGGCGAAAAATGAGTCAAACTTGAATGGCAGACGACAGAATTATTTTTTTGCGACGTTTCGCGAAGTCGTCCAGCACTTGGCGACGTCGCATGTTCGAACAGGCTGTCACCTCTAGTCACGAGCTGTCACATTCACCAAGGTGTTCAAATTTGTGTTCGGATCTCGTCGGGAAACTGTTCGTACAGTGAATTCGTTACGTATGTTCGGATTTGGGCCTTCCAGCCCCGAGGTGATGCGCCCTAACGTTAGGTTCACACACATCCAACACTTGTGATTTACCTTACCATATGTGAAAACGAGTATTTGTGTTCTTGCCACCAATCTAGATACACACTTCTTGTTGAAGAAAAAGCCTTTATGCATTACAACACTCCCTGCGACAAACACGACTTGCGTGTAAACAGCGCACCAACGCACAACTAGATGAAACTTCTCGTGCAGAAACAGCCTGGCAGGCTAGCACCAAATCCAGGGTTTGCTTTGCAGCACATCGCACGGGCCGGCGTGTCACTAGCACAGGCAATAGCAACAGGAGCGTGGTACCGGTACTATATCTTGAAAGGAGTGTGCCTCGTGAAGACAAGCTCGGGCTCTTAGATCTCAACCTGCTCGCGCAGACGGCGAATAGTACTGCGCACCGTGACTGCTGCCGCCGTGCTGTAGAGCGCACAGAGGGGCAGGAGCGCACAGAGGGGCAGAGCGCACAGAGGGGCAGAGCGCACTGAGGGGCAGAGCGCACAGAGGGGCAGTGCACACCGGCACAGGGAGCAGAAACATTGAGGGATTTTTGGGGAGCGAAAGAACAGGGAGGGAATGGAAGGAGAAGAACGGGCCGGCGGTTGGTGGAAGAGGGAATGCAAACGGCAGGATGAGCAGTGAGAAGCATGCATGCACGAGATGCATCACATGACATGAATGCGTAACATGGAATCAGGCTCAGGAAAAAGTCAGGAAAAAAGACCAGGCACGGCAGCAGGCATGGGGGGCATGGCGGAAGCAGGGGCGGAAGTACAAGGCGTGGGAGCAGCAGCGCAGGCAGAAATCTCACTTGAGCACGTAAGCGCCGCCGGCCTTGGTCTTGTTGCAGTGCTTGCAGTGCCAGATGCCCACCACCTGCCGCTTCACAGAGAACTGCATACAGCAGAGGGGCGCGGTCGGGGGACGGAAAGCCAGAGGAGGCGGAAGAGGGGATTCGGGAGAATAGAGCGATGACCACGCATCTAGAGCCTGTGGCAGCCTGTCAGACGCGTCCAACTTCCTCCCCTTCCCCTTCAGTCCTTGCCGCTTGTACTCCGAATTCCGATGGATAGGCCTACTTAGCCTGATAGGCCTCATCGCTCTCTCCTCATCTCGTCGTTCTATCCAGGCTACAATTCTCCACCCCTAGCTCGATTCATCTCCACCCCTAGCTCGACTCATCTCCACCCCTAGCTCGACTCATCTCCACCCCTAGCTCGACTCATCTCCACCCCTAGCTCGACTCATGCACACACAATGAGAGCCCTCTTGCAAACAGCCAACCCGCCACCCAACCTCGCTTTCCCCCCTTCTCCTCGTCTCCAAAACCCTTCCCTTCACTTCAGCGCAACTATTAAGTGGCTGATCAAGCGACGAGTGCGCCCGCCCAACACGCCATTGCCTGATTCGCGCATCGCACGCAACATTCGCAACACTCCCTCTCGTGCCAATCTTCGCTCCACGCACCACCACCACCACCAACCCATACATCCCCCTATCGTTTCTTCCTATCTCGATTTGTGGATCCGGTGTCTAAGAATACACCGTGCTCCCCTGCTGCTTCCCTGCCCTACTCCCCGTGCTCCCCTCTGCTGCCTTGCGTCCATCATCGTCGCATCCGGCGTGTCCCCCCACCTCTGCCAACTCCAATTACCGCAACGAGCCACACCAGCCAAAACCCTGAATCCCCACTCCCCGCGAATCTTCCCGCCCCCCGATGCCTTCAATCTATACTACAAAGGCCGCTCTCCCGCACGTACGGTTCACCGCAGCCCGTCAATTCGCATCAACGCGGAGCGATCGCGTACGGCTGCGTCGCCTGCTCAGATGCCCGTCTTTGAGGCGTTTCAGAACGCGGGTCATGAACCCATGTTGTGCCTTGCAATATCTGGTTCTATATTCTATTCCGGCGCGCCAGGCCCTTTCATTCTCAGGAGCCTCCAAAGGCGTCTCATGGTTGAGGTGCCTCAAAAACCCCAATCCAGTGACCTCATCCACGCCAGTCCCTTTTTTTTGAATGAAAAAACAAGCTTCCGTGCTGCCGTAGCTCCATTCCCCGCCCCCTTCTACGACGTCAACCCCTAGCCTTTCTTGCTCCCCCCATTCCCTGCCAACCCTATACTCAACGGCACGGCACTGGAAGGCACCGCAAGGCACGCATCTTGCCGCAGAAGTCGCAGAAGTACTTGGCGCGCTGGCTGACCTCCATCTTCTTCACCTGCTGCGTCATTTCATTCCCCAACCGCCCCCTCCCTTTCTCTCCTTCCCCCGCTCTCTGCCACCCCTCAACTCAACGGCACGGCACGGTACAGTACGGTACGGTACGGCGCGCACCTTGCCGCAGAACTCGCAGAAGTACTTGGCGTGCTGGCTGACCTCCATCTTCTTCACCTGCTTGCGCAGCGACGCGCCGTACCGCGTGCCGTACTTGCCCACGATCCCCGCCTTCTTCGTCCTCTTCGTCTGCCCACAGTAGAGAGATCGCGGGAAATGGATAGCGGCGGGAACGGGAGGGAGGCGCAACAGGGGGTTTTGAGAAGGCTGTGGGTCGGAAAAGAGAGGGTAGGTTTGGGCGGGATGAATCATAGGCGATGAATTTGAAAATCCAATTGTTTACGGAGCAATGAGGTACTGGTCCATGGCTGGTAACGCACGCGCAATAGCGGGGACTAAAACCTGGCGACCCAGTCAGGCTAATTTGAAGAGCTGCGGGTAACGCGGGAAAGCGAGAGAAACAATATCGTCTTCCAAATCTACTCGAGTAGCCTCAAAACGTGTGAACGTGTCGCTTCCCGCACGAATCACGGATTGCAAATGGACCTAACACGACGAAAGGATCCGTCGTCTCACGGGCGACTAGCATATACAAGAGAGTAATGAACGGATGGGTTGAAAGGATGCGGCAAGGAGCTGACCATCTTGTCGAGTTGCTCGTGGAATGCGGCGAAGTGGCGTGATGCTACAGAAAACGCGAGTGGATGGAGAGTGGAAGGGGAAAGAGAGAGAAATGTGAGTAGAGGAGGTTTGAAGAAGAGGGAGAGGGGAGAAGAGGGAGCTGCAGGACGGGGACCATACGCTTTACAAACAAGGTCGTAAATATTTCCAGCTAGAACATTCAAAAACCCAACCATATTTCAAATATCTCAACCCAGTCTCACATTTCTGACAAGAAAGGGACGCGCATTCCTTTCGTTTCCTTCATTATGCAAACAATCGAACTGCTCCCATCAGCAATTTTTTATATCGAGTCCGGGCTGGATCAGACAGGACAGGATCACCCACCCGTGCTAACGTCACAGCCACCTCCCAGCACCATTTTCACGCATCACATCACGACGACTCAAGGACCGAACCGCTGACTGCACGTCCTTCACCATTCTTTCGTGATCGCCTGATCGCCTGATCGCCTGATCACCATTCGCTCACACCTGATCGCCTCGAGCTTCTCGTTTCGCGTCCGCCGCACACGGCCGTCGCTCTTCTCACCCCTCTCCCTCCTCCCTCTTTTCTTCCTCTCAGTTCCCACTCCTTCGCGGTTCGTTCCTGTTGGAAACAATAAGTCTTAGTGCGCTTCTGTCGTGTCAAAACCCAAGACACTAGCGAAGCAGTCCGAATCGAAACATCGAGTCAAACCTCGGAGGTTAGGGTAACCGCCTGGAGGTTACGAGAAAGTCAAAGGTCAGCGACCTTTGACTCGACAATTACAGCGCGACAGTTAAGGACACACAACTGACTCGTTACAGAGCAGTTGCCCGAGTCGCACTGTATCGAATCGCAACAGCAATACAGTTATCTATCTATTCGTATTCCCTGTACCCTTATATAAGACCTTGTATTTGCTTGTTTAATTTAATCTACTTTGCTCTCACACACCAGTGCAAGGTCGGTTCACAAGTTTCATTAAACGCTTCCGCTATTACAAGTTTCCTACCCAGAGTTATCCTCTGCAAAGATCCTTAAGGGCCTTCTCAGCCCAACATGGTATGAGAGCAGACAGGGGAAACTCTAAACTTTTTATATTACAAGACATGGCAACAAACAAGGAAAGGAGCTCCCCTAATGGCTCCTCGGGCACTACTCCTACTCCACCACCAGCCTCTGGCCTGCAGACAGAGGAAGGCACGGCAGCAAGACCAAGGGGAACGTCAACCGAGACCCCCACGAATCACCCTTCTGACTTCGACCAGAGCATGATGGAGAAATTCTTCTCCTTCATGTCCTTCTACGAGCAACACCAGCAGTCGGGAC